CAGGGGTTACTCCTGGCTCTGCGCTCAGGAATCACTCCTGGCAGTGTTCAGAGGATCTTAAGGGGTGCTGGGGATTGAACCTGGGTCAGCCACATGCAAGGCAAGTGCTCTACCTGCTGTTCCTGCTGTACCTGCTCTGCCACCCACCCCTGCCTCCCCCGCTCGTCACATTTCTTTGCCTGGAGCGGGGCATTGGGTTCACCCATATCTGGTGCCACTGCAAGGCAAGCACCCGAACCCCTGTACTAGCTCTCTGGCCCTGAAATTGGTAGGAGGTTAGCCACACCCAGTGAACCTTCAGGGTCATTCCCTGTCATGCTTGGGGAACAATCATGCTGTGCTGGGCATTGAACCTGGGCTCCCTGCATGAGAACCTACATCCAGCCCAGAAGAAAGCAAGTTTCCTCAGAGCTTAGGAGCAGGCTGCTAGGAGCTAAGATCAAACCATGATTTTTAAATGAAGATTTGTCAAAGACAGTAATAAACCTATTAACCAAGCAGTAAACGAACAAACCAACAAACCTGCGTTCAGTCTGTTGAGCTAGCTTTCTGGCCCTTTATTTTACAATTTTTATATAAATTTAGGGGAGGGGCTAGAGATACATGTAATAGGTAGGGAGTAGGCTTTGCCTTGCATACAGCTGACCTGGGTTCAATCCTTGGCATCCCGTATTGTCTCCTGAGCCCTGCCAGGAGTGATCCCCAGTGCAGAGCTAGGAGTAAACCTTGAGCACCATTGGGCGTGGCCCCCAATCTAGCCAACAAAAGCACATGCACAGTGGCAAGGCACTTGCCTTGCTTGTGGCCAAACCTGGTTCAATCCCTGACACCTCAGATGGTCAGGAGACCCTCCAGGGGTCTCGTAAGCCCTGAGGACTGGGGGTAAGGGTTGGGCATAAACCAAAAATAAAAAAGATTCTTTACTCGGGGCAGGGAGCGGGGCTCAGCAGTAGAGCACACGGTCTGCATGTGGGTTGATTGAGAGCATTGTGAAAACAAAAGCCAAACAACTGACCCTGGAAAGGCTGGTTTGCTGGATGGAGATGCCATGAGCAGATCCGGACTCATCCCAGGCCTGGCTTTCCTGCTGCACCTGGAGTTTGGTGGTGGTGGTGCTGGGGAACGAACCCAGGGCTTCGTCCATGCAAACCAAGTACTGTACTGCTGCTTGCTCAGCCCTGAGCCCTGCCTGAGCCACCCTCCGCAGGGTATGGCCCGTGTCAGCCACTGTGTGGGTCTCCTGGCAGCTTGCTCTCCTGGAAGACCGCTTCCATCCCAGACCCTTCCTTTCTCCTCCTAATGAGTTTTGTTTGCTTACACCTGGCAGTTGGGCTGGAGCGATAGCAGATAGCACAGCAGGTAGTGCGTTTGCCTTGCACACGGGTGACCAGGCAGACCCGAGTTCGATTTCTTTGGCCCTCTCAGAGAGCTCGGCAAGCTACCGAGAGTATCTCACCCGCACGGCAACCTCACCATGACGTATTTGATATGCCAAACACAGTAACAAGTCTCACAATGAAGACGTTACTGGGCCCGCTCGGGCAAATGGATGAACAATGGGAGGATAGTGCAGCGCTCACCTGGCAGTGCCCAGAGTTTGCTCCTGGCTCTGCACTCAGGGATCACTCTGGCAGGGTTCAGGGGACTGTATGGGGTTCTGGGGATCAAACTGGTTTTGGCCGTGTGCAAGGCAAACGTCCTGCCTGTTGTGCTTTGTCTGGCCCCTGGTTTGTTTTTTCCGCCACACACGGTGGCTTTCAGGGCTTACTCTTGGTTCTGTGCTCCGAGACCACTGGCTGTGCTCGGGGGAACATTTGTGGTATGGGTTAGCTTGGGGTTTGCTGTGTGCAAGTGCCTTAACCCCCATACTATCTCTGAGACCTCACACACGATTTTTCAGTCATTGGCAATTGACCATGTCGAGTCACGTGCTGAGCGTTGGTCTAGTGGCCGGTGAGCTGTGCCAAGAGCCAGGTTGGTCTAGCCTCGGCCTGTCATCCACTGTCGTTTCCTCGCCTATGAAATGGGATCACTGTGCCAGTGCTAGGGTCACGAGGACGGACATGGCAGGTCAGGTACCCACCGTGGTGCCTGTTATGCAGTGGAGGGCCAATGGAAACTATCAGCCTATTTTCTCTTTGTTTTTGGGTCACACCCGGCGATGCAGAGGTCACTCCTGGCTCATGCACTCAGGAATTACTCCTGGCCGTGCTTGGGGGACCATATGGGATGCTGGGATTTGAATCCGGGTCAGTCGAGTGCAAGACAAACGCCCTACCCGCTGTGCTATCGCTCCAGCCCCTCAGTGTTTTCTCGGGGATGAGAGGAAACGAAGGTGGTTCCCAGAAAAGGGCCTCTGCCCATCTGAGCCCCCATGCCACCTCCACTTCCTGGAAACACTGGCCCAGACCCAGGGGCCCTCCTGAGTCTTACTGCACCCTTCTCTGCCCTTTCTGTGCTCAGCAGTCACTCCTGGTAGTTCTCAGGGGACCATAATGTAGTGCCAAGGATCAAATACAAGTTGGACATGGGTTTACTCCTATGCTCTTGGCTCAAATAGTATTTTGGGGCCACCCCTGGCTTCATGCTCAGGGATCACTGGTGGCGGTACTCAGGGATCGTATGTTGTGCCAAGGAGCAAACTGGGACCAGGTGGGTGCGGGAAAAATGCCTTAGCCCTCGTACTCTCTCTGGCCCAAGGAACCACAATCTTCTAATGCTGGTTTATAATGGAGAAAGAACAACCCCAGAGTCTGGAAGCTCTGGAGGCTTTTTGGTGGGGCGTGAGCCCAGCCTGCAAGTGACTGGAACTCCCCTTAAGGGCCTTATCCGTAAGCAGGTTGGCTGGCTGTGAGGGAATAGCCCCTGGCCCGGGGAGGGGCCCCTAAATGACAAATGAGGCTGGAGTCTGGCTATGGAGAGCAGGCTGGCAGGGAGGCCAGGAGGCCCAGCGGGCTGCCTCACCCCAGCCTGCTCCTGATGGCTGCTGTGGACACTGGGAGCCACTGAGGGGGTCACACGGCTGGTGACAGTCCTCTGCTCTCTGCACAGGACTGGTGCTGCACCTCTCATTTTCTGCTTTTACAGCGGTTTCTCCTAACTCTTGTCAGGGCTGGGGGCCACCCCCACAGACCCTCGGCAGCAGCAGTTGTTACCACCCCCTTCTGTGGAGCTGGGGTTCATACCCAGGGCCTCACACATCCAGACCAAGTGCTCTGCTGCCGAGTCACCTCCCGGGCCCCTTTTGCCATCTACACTATAATAGACTTCTATTTTTGTGGTGGTGCCAAGGATTGAACCCAGGGCCTCGCTGAGGAGGGGTATGTGTTCTGTGCTGAGCCCCCTCCCGCATGCTAGGCTATTCTGTTGATGTGGGGGGGGCCCACCCCCACTGATGTGCAGGGATCACACATGGCCATGCTCAAAGGACCACCTGTGGTGCCAGAGAGTGAAGCTGGGACGACCTTATGCAGGCCAGTGCCTTCAACCCTGGAGGGTCTCTACAGTTGGCCTCTGCCGGCCAGACAGGGCCCAGCACTCAACAGAGAGATCCCGCAGTGTTTGGCACTGCCCAAACCATCCTTGATGCCGACTGATCCAGCTCTAGGTCACCAAGAAAATCTCCTCCACCACCCGACAGCTCGCCAAGGGACTGAGTTTCTATTATCCTCACAAGTACCATTTGAAGAAACCAGATGGGAAGATTCAGTGATTTGTTGTGATTCTCCAACCAATTTTGGTGACTGCAGTGAACCAGAAATGCACTAGCCCTCTGGCTCCACACACAAAGCCCCCCTTCCTCCCCAAGAAACCTGGGGTGGTCGCTCCATGGGGGGGCGGGGCACGTGCTCCCCAATCAGTCTGAAACAACTGCCAGAACAGAGCTGGGTGCAGCCCTGAACAGTGCCAGGTGTACCCTTACCCTTATCCAGCGCACCAGCAGATGCTGCTGCAGAAACCTTCAGACACATTGGCCGGGGAAGGTGTCAGCGGGGGCTCCCCATCTGGTCAGGGGTGGGGAGCCTGGTTAACTGGCAGCCCCCCTTGGTCCCTTGGCAGGCCTGGAGGCTCTCAGAGGCTCTGAGGGGGCAGAGGTCTGGGTCCAACTGGGGAGACACCCTTCTCGTGGCCCCCAGACCTCAGCCACATGCAGGCACCTTGCCCCTGTGCCAGGGGGTGCCCAGTGTCCCCCTGTGCTCACCCCTCCCCCGGCTCCCACCACACCCACAGCAGTTCATCAAGATGCCTGGCCTAGTGCCTCCACTCCCAGAAGCCCCACAGCTCCTCTGGCTGCGTGAGCACATGGCAGGGGCTCAACTTCAATGTCTTCTGCATAACAAGCATGGGTCAGCAGAGTCATGGAGAAACATCTCCAAATCATACTAAGGCTTCTGTTCTGTTTTCTGGGACACACCCGGCAGTGCTCAGGGCTCACGCCTGGAGAGCTCAGAGACTACCTGGTGTGCCAGGGACCGAACCCACGTTAGCCAGTGCGTCCTACCCACTACATCATGTCTCTGGGTACATAAATCACACTTGTGTTCAACGCTTTCCCCTCCTCCAAGAGGGCTTCCTTCTGGCCAGTTGTCTTGTACCCACCTGAGAGTCATTCCCCAACCCCACCTGACGGGGTCAAGGGAGAAACAGCACAGCCGACTACTCAGGCCAATGGGCAACAGTTTCTCAGCTTCTTCTCTGCACTGGAGCGGGCCACCCGCCAACCAGGTCGAGGCCGGTCACCCTTGGTTCATGTCCCCGAGGCCCCCTTCTTCAGCGGAGGCTGAGCCAGCCCAGGCCCCCCCATCAGTGCCAGGACACACTGCCCGAAGCCCAGCAGTTCACCTGGAAGGCCCACCCCCAACTCCCAAGCCCCGTGTTTGCCAAGGGTTCCCTCCAGAGGAGCAAGAGGAGGCGTCCCGGAAATACCACGCCAGGGCGGGCACAGCCGGGGCTCCCTGCAGAGGGCTCTGGAGCAGCCAAGACCAGGCCAGGGAGACGCCGGGAGGTTTAATCGACACAGCAGCCAGGGGAAGGGGCCCCATGGCCCGGGGCAGTGCCGGCAGGCACCCCGGTCCCCTTTCCCCTCGGAAGACCAGTCCTCACACACGGAGGAGACGCCGCTGGCTGGGCGGGACAGGACGTGCTCTGGTCAGGTTTGGGAGTAAGGCTGTCCCCAGAGCCGAGGCGAGTCCATTGCCAGGAAAGGGTGGTCAGGTGGTGGCCCAGGGGTCTGAGCGAGCAGTCCACATCCTGGGCCCAGTCCTCGAGCCTGGTGGCAGGGGCGGGGGTCCTAGAGGAAGCCCTCCCGCCGGAACTGTTCCTGGAGGAGGGCGCGGTATTGGTCGAATCCCCCCTCGACCCGGGTCACTCCGCCGCCTTCACACACCCACAGCTCCTGGCAGACCAGCCGGATGAAGCGCTCGTCGTGCGACACCAGGATCACTCCCCCCTGGAAGACAAGGAGGTGGGGGGGGGGGGGGGCTCAGGGAGGCGGCAGGGCGGGGGTGCATGGCGTGCAGGCACTCACGTACCCTGAAGGTGTTGAGCGCCCGGCCCAGGGCCTCGATCGTCTCCATGTCCAGGTGGTTGGTGGGTTCGTCCAGGATGTAGAAGTTGGGGCTGGAAGGCAGAAGGCAGGAAGGTGGGCGGGGACGCGGGATAGGACACACAGGACACCCCGGCTACGGAGGCCAGACTAGGGGGAAGTGCGGCAGGGCGAGGGCCCGGGGGCGGGAGGCCTCACCAGGGCATGGTCATCTGGGCGAAGGCCACCCGGCTCTTCTGCCCCCCGGACAGGCTGACGACAGGGCGCATGGCCAGCTCTCCCGAGATGCCGTAGCGGCCCAGCTGGTGCCGGTATTCTTCCTCGGGCCGACCTGGAAGAGAACCATCTGAGGCTGCCCACCTGCCTCCTACACCGCCTCAGGCCCGGTCAGGAGCCGGGGTCGGCGCCCGCCCCCGGGAGGCTGAGCGCAGGGGTCAGGACGCACCGGGAAACTTGCGTGCCAGCAGCTCCACGGCACTGACATTCAGGTCCAGCTGCTCCACGTGGTGCTGGCTGAAATAGCCGATTTTCAGGTTCCTGCAGGGAGAGGCGATGAGGGGAGTGGAGGGCAGGCCCCGAGTGAGCACGGGGAACGCGCCCCCAGGACGGGCGCTTACCTGTGAGCGTGCCGGATGCCCCGGACGGGGGCCAGGTCCCCCATCAGCAGCTTCAGCATGGTCGACTTCCCCGCGCCGTTCTCCCCCACCTACGAGGAAGGGCAGGCATTTCAGAGTGAACATGGCGGGAGGCAGAGGGAAGGGGAGGAAGTCAGTCTTGGTTAGGCCTGACGGATCCTTCCTTCATCAACAGGAAAAGACATTTTAGTTTGTTTTTTTGGGGCCACACCTTGTGGCACTCACTGCTGATTCCAGGTGGTGCCCAGTGACCCACATGTGATACCCAGACTCAGTTGAAGTCAGCAATGTGGGGGCCTCGTCCTCTGCACCATCTCTCCGGTCCTTTCCCTGCCCCCCTTCTTTGGGGGCCACACCTGGCAGTGTTGCTCAGGAGTGACATCCCCTCCTGAACAATCATCACACATGGCCTTGCTCGGGGGGCCCTGAATTCCCCGGGGGGCTCAAGGTCAGTCACAAGCAAGGTAAACCCCAAGAAGCAAGCCACATACTGCTGAACAATGGGGTATTTCCGAGCAAAGAAGACGCAGGCGGCTTTGTGGTGCACTCCCCCAAACCTACACTCTAGGCACAGTGTGGACACAGGGATCCCCGTGGCATGTGGGGTCCATCCGGGAACAGACTGGGGCTCTGCGGACACCACTGTGGAGGGGACAATGACAGAGGCGACCGAGACACAGAGGGAACCAGCACCTGGCCACCTGCTCTCCCAGAAAGCTCGTTGCCTCCAGAGCAAGGCAGGGACGGGAACTGCCGCGACACACCTGCCTTCACCTTCCACACAGGGAGGGAGAGAACTCGGAGTTGAACCCACGTGTCCTCTGAGAATTCACACAGCACCACGACAAGCCCTTCCTCTCTATGGGGAGGTGCTGGGCGGTTGGAGACTGGCACAGCAGGGCCCTGCCCAGGCCAACTCTTGCTCCCATACTGGGGTGGGAGCAACCAAGTCACAGAGAGCCCAGAGGCCGCCAGCAGGGTTGGAGCCGTAGCATAGCAGGTAGGGCGCTTACCCAATGTGCGGATGACCCGGGTTTGATCCCCGGCACCCCATAGAGTCCTGAGCCCTGCCAGGAGTGATTCCTAAGCACAGCTAGGTGTGACCCAAAAACAACAACAACAACAACAACAGCAACAAGAAACAGCCAACGTACCACACAGATGCGGGACTCGAGATCAGCAGAGACGGAGAGGCGGTTGAAGATGACGTGCTTTGGATCATAGTAGAAATCCACCTCGTCGAGCTGCAGGATGGGTGGAGAGAACTTCTCAAAGCCATCGGGGAACCTGCAGGAGGGGGCGGTGAGGAGCGGAGCAGCCCCACCGAGAGCTCCCCCCTGCCCCGGCAGCCCGGCACTCACTTCATCACTACCTCGATCTCCTTGTCCACAGGTTTCAGCTCCGGCCTGAGGCGAGAGAGGGGCAGGATTTGATTTACAACGAGAAATCAACCCTCCGAACCCACCTTCTTGTGGTCTTCTTCCCCAAGGAACAAAACTTCTGCTTCTAGCAACAGGTAACATTTTTATTTTAGAATCCATTCTGCTAATTCCACATATGCAGAACCACAGGACTATAAGCTCTGCATCCTCCTGGTTACTGCACAGTGACCCTATGTCTCAAGGTCAACAAATCCGGAGCCTGTGACATTAGGTTTCCCTACCAACAGCCCCTCTGGAAAGACTGCTTGAAGATTCAAAGCCCCAAGGGCTGGAAGTAGGGGTCAAGTGCACAAATGTGTACATTTGCTGGGCTTGATCCTTGGCATCACATCTGGTTCCCTAGCACCACCAGGAGTGACCACTGAGCAGAGAGCCAGCAGTAAGCCCTAAGCCCTGCCCAATGCGGCCCCAAACCCAAATATAAATAATGTCCCAGGGCTGGGAATGTGGTTCAAGGCCAAGTGTCTGCCTTGCATACCTGCGACCTATGCTTGATCTCTAGCTCCACAAACATAGTAACAATGTAAAAAATGTTTCTAATGGGGAAAGGGAGAAATAGTACAGGGATCTTGGGTGCTTGCCTTGCACACAGCTGACTCAGATTTGATCCCTGTTACCCCGAAAGGTTCCCTGAGCCCCACCAGGAGTAATCCCTGAGCACAGAGCCAGCTGTAAGCACTGTGCACTGCCCTATGAGGCCTGAAAACAAAAACAAAAACAAAAAACAACTTTTTAAATGGGAAAAACCATAGCAATTGATGAATCAAATAAAACACAGGGAACCCAAATGACGGTGTATAATGACAGCCACAAAAAGCCATGAAGCACAGGGCCAGAGAAACAATCCAGTGGCTAGAGCGCTTGCCCTCCATATGCCTGACCTGGGTTTGATCCCCTATGCAGGGCCGGCCAGGAGTATCCCTTGAGCGCACAGCCAGCAGCAAGCTCTGAGCACTGCTGAGTGTGGCCCCCAAAACAAACGAACAAACAAAAAGGCCTGACGCAGACACATGAAATGAAGCAGGCCACCACATGGTGGGCCTGGGAAACATGGCACACAAGTCTCGGGGCTCGGCGATCCCCCTTCTGCGACCTGCCTAGAACAAGCAGACATGTACAGTCAGGCGGTCACCAGTGGCGGCCTGGCCAGGAGGACCCTCCGAGAGGACTGAGAATACTCTGCTCTGCTGCAGGGGAGGGAATGCAGGCTGGGGTCCAGAGAGGAGACCTAGAATGCGGGTGGCGGGGGCAGGGGGTGGCTGGGAGAAGCAGGCCTTCCAGGGACCAGGGCCGGGGCCAGGTCACGGTACTCACAGCTTCTCCAGCATTTTGATCTTGCTCTGCACTTGAGAGGCCCTGTTGGCATTGTAGCGGAAGCGGTCAATGAACACCTGTGGGCGGGCGGGCGCAGGCACTGGTCAGGCCCCCCGCCTGGGACCGGCACTCCAGCCCCCGGCCCTGGCCGCCCACACACCTGGATGTGCTGGCGGTACTGCTGCTGGGCCTCGTATTCCCGCTGCTGGTTGAGCAGCCGCTCCTGCTTGCTCTTGATGAAGGTCTCGAAGTCGCCCCGGTACCCGTCAAGCCGCTGGCTGTGCAGGTGAATGATGTCGGTGGCAACGGCATTGAGGAAGTTGCGGTCGTGGGAGACAACGAGGATGGTGGAGGGCCATGTCTGAGGGTCACAGGGCAGGAGGCGCATCATCTTCCCCGTCTCCCAGGTGCTCGTGGGTGTGTGGGAAGCCCCCGCCCAGACCTGCCCCAGCACTCACAGGCACTGACCTGCAAGTAATTCTCCAGCCACAGGATGGCCCTGACGTCCAGCATGTTTGTGGGTTCTGGGAAAGTGGGGGAGGACACGTTTTGGGGCTGAGAGGCTGGAGGACTAAGAACATGGGGTGCTGCCCACCTCCCCCACCCAAAGTCAGGGGGTGACGCTTCAGTCTCACCATCCAACAGCAGAAGATCGGGCCTACGGGAGAGAAGGCAATGCATGAGTTCCAGAGCCCCGCCCCGTGGCGCCCGCCCAGTAACCGAGGCCCGTCCTCCACTCTCCACACACGGACCCGCCAGACGCACCTAGCGAACAGGGCCCGGGCCAGGGCCAATCGCATCCTCCAGCCGCCGGAGAACTCCCTGAGGAAAGACAGAGCCACATCAGGCCGGGCCCCGAGGCCACAGCTGACGGTACTCGGAGTCAGGACTGCGGGGGCCACTCACCGCGTGGGCTGCTGCTGCATGGCAGGGGTGAAGCCCAGCCCCGCCAGGATGACCGAGGCCCTGCGAGGGAAAGAACAAGAGTGAGTGAGAGCAGGCAAGACGGGGAAGAGGGAAACATGGGCAGAGGGGGGGTCCCCGTACCTGGCGGGAGCCTTGTCCGCCTCGATTTCCTCCAACTTGGCGTAGATTTCCGCCAGCTGTGCTGCTTCCGAGCCCTCGGCCCTGGGATGCGCACGGGGAGAGGAGCAGTGAGGCCCGGGAGGCTGCAGGCTCCAGGCACATGCAGCCCTAGGTTCAGGGGGCCTGCCAAGGTTGCCAGCACTGGGATGCACACACAGCAGCAGCGGCGAGGGCAACGGGCCTGCTGCTTGCTAGAACGGTCCAGGCCGGGGGGGGGGGGGGGGGGGGGCGACACCCCCACCCCGCAGCCCTCACCTGCCGGCCGCGATCTGGGCACTGAGCTCGCGCTCCCGCTGCAGGAGGTCCTCGCGCACCGTGTCACTCTGCAGCACGCTCTGCAGGGCAGGGGTGTCGTCACCCGCCACCTCCTGCTCCACGTAGAGCAGGGAAATGTGGGCTGGGATCCGCAGGCTCCGCGTGGCCAACATCTTCAGCAGCGTGGTCTTGCCCAGTCCGTTGCGACCCACCAGCCCGTAGCGGCGGCCCCAGGCCAGGTTCACGTCTGCCCCTGTCAGCAGGACCCTGCAAGAGGAGGGCGAGGAAGGGAGTTCGAGAGACGGGCACCCTGCAGCTTCAGCCAGAGGGCTGCCTTCCGATAAATGTCCCCAAGTCTCCCTGGAGAGTCAAGCCCGGGCCGCCACCGCCCCTCGCTGACCTGTCACCAAAAGACACGTCAAAGTTCTCGATCCGGATGTCATAGGATTTGTTCTTGCCGGATGATTCCAAGCGACTCTCCTTCCTGCTGCCTGCCTGGCTGGCTGAGGCCTCTTCCAAGACTCTTTGGAGAGGAGACAGAGAGGCCGGTAGCACCCCGGGCCACCCCTGTGGCACAGCAGAGCCGCTCAGCCCCTGTCGCCACCCTTCCCGCCAAGACTCACGGGACGCTGCCAGTCTTGAGCGTGTCCTTCTCGGAGCGCTTCTCCTGCTTGGCCTTCAGTCTCGCCTCAGCCTTTTCGAGTTTCTTTGCATTCACGGTCTACGAGTCCAGACCCATCCAGGTCACTCTGGGTGTAGGCGCCAAAGGGCAGCCCACAGATGACCCCCTCACGCGAACCTCCCTCAACAGACGAAGCATCACAGCCAGCATCAGAGACGCTGGGCAAGTGGGCACCAGAAATCGCTCTGCCCCCCCTCCCCACCCGCAGCTCCTCCTCCCGACAGCCCCTGGCCTGCCTCCCACCTCCTCACCGAGGACTGTTCCCGCTTTAGTAGTCCGGGAAGTTTGGTGTCACAGTCTGTAAGCGGAAGAAAAGCAGTCACCTTCTCCCCGAAGGGAGGGAAAGGAACAGCAGCCAGCCGTGGACAATCCTGGCGCTACCCTCCCAATGAACCCAGCGAAACCCAAGCCAACCCTCACCAACGAAGAACACAGGGGCTGCAGCAGAGAAGCCAGCTGGGTTGGCTGTGTGGTGATGTGTCCTGGGGAGCCAGCCTTGCTCGAACCCCCACCCTGGACATCCTCCACTAGTAGGCGGCTGGCTCTGAAGCTGCAGAATTGGGGGAACGAACCCAAGCGCAGGGCCTCTCCATGGTCCAAAGGCCTCCCACGACCCCCCGAGAGCCTGGCCACTTTCCCCGGCCCCCGAGCATCCTCACTAGCTCTTCCTGCCTTCAAGAGCTACAACAGATACTGTTGCCTTCAACGGACACAGTAGCTCCTACCATCTGGAGGGTGAAAGGAGGTACCAGGAGCTCGGAGCCGGGGGCAAGGGGGAGGGGAGGGCCGCGGGAGGGGTCCGAGGGACGGAGGCGGCCAGTCGACCAAGCGGCCCGTCGCGCTCACCCACCGTAGCTCTCCGTGATCTTGGACAACTGGATGGGCGCGTCCAGGAGGACCTGGCTGTTCCCCTGGCTCGGCGGCTCGGCCCTGGGGGGCAGGCAGAGGGCAGGGCGTCAGGAGCCGCGGGGCAGGGCTCAGCGGCCCGGGGCGTGCGGCCGTGCACCCTGACCCCCGGCCCCGGCACCTACAGGCGCAGGGTGTCGTACATGCGCTGGCACACGGCCCTGATGCCCGCGTCATCCTTGCTGTCCCCGGACACCTCCTGCAACAGCTCGCCCACGGCTTCCACCAGGTCATCCACCGACTCGAAGTCCGCGCTGCCGCTGTGCAGGACGCCTGGGCCGGCGAGCACGGTCAGCGCGAAGGGCGCGGGGCCCGCCCCGTCCCCCCCAGCTGCGGGGCCGCGGCCCGCGAGGTCACGCGGGGGGGAGCGGCCTGGCGGGCAGCCGGCCTGCCGGCCGGCGCCCCGCACTCCCCGCGGCTCCCCCCGGCGCGCCGGGGCGGCCTGGCTCACCCGTCACGTAGTCGAAGACCTGTCCGTCAATCTCGGGGAACTCGCTCCGCAGGATCTCGGCGCACGTCGCCATGTTCCAGCCGGGCCCCCGTCCGCGCAGCCGCCGTGGAACCTGGGCCAGGCCCCGCCCCCTGCAAGCCGGCCCCGCCCCACGGCGCCGGAGTCGCGGTGACGTCAGAAAGGCGGGGCGGCCACGCGCGCAGGCGCCGTGGAGGCGCGGCCCAGCGGCCCGCTCTGCGCCTGCGCGGGGCCGGGAGGCGGGGCCTGTGAGGACGTGTGGGGCCCCGCGGGGGCCGCCGCGACGCCCAGCTTATCGCGGCGCGCGGTGGCTGGGGACGGTCGAGGGACGGACGTCGATAGAGTCGCGCTAGCGGGTCTGCGCGCCCATTCGGGCCCGCGTCCGAGCCCGCCCGTAGCCCTGCTGACTCACGGCCGGCTCCGCGCGAGCGGGAGCTCCCCGGAGCGGGCCCCCGCACCACCCCGGGAACCCCCCACCCCCCCCATCTCCGCCCGCGCCTCCTGGCGGCGGCGTCACGGACGGCCCAGTAGCCTGATGGCCTTGAGAGTACTCGAGAGTTCCGCTGGGCCGGGCGGATTTTGCCCATTCAGCCTTTCCTCTGGGCCCGGACACACCCTCCTCACCGCCAGAGAAATCCGCGCCAAGATTTGGGGGGCAGGGAGTGGATCACACCCGGCGGTGCCAGGAATCTACCCGGGTGGGCAAAGCAAAAGCCTGTTGTCCTTCCTCTCTGTCCCTGGGACACCAGAGATGCGTGTCCGCTCACTGACCTCTATTCCAGACCTAGATCCTTGCACTGCTGCTTTGTATGGAACTCGCATGCTCTTTGACGCCTAAAATGGCTCCATGACGTCCGTCATTCGAATCAGGCAGGTGGCAATGTGAAGAATCAATGTTAATGTTCGGAAGTTTAAAAAAAAAAAAAACTAGTATACCTTTAGCTCCAAAAGTATACTGAAAATGTTAGGAATTCTGATGGAGGAATAACAACTGATTTCTTCAGAAAACATTCCAAAGGGCTGGAGAGTCATAGTATATATTGGGGAGGGCACTTGCCTTGCTGGCTACCTACCTGGGTTAGATCCTGGCAGCCCATCTGGTCCTCATAGCCCCACCAGTGGTCTCTGAACAGCAGCAACTTACTTACCAGGAGTAAGCCCTGAGCATCACTAGTTGTGGCCCCCAAAACATTGCAAGAGGGACTGGAGAGCTCAGAGGTTTGAGCACATGCGTTGCATACAGGAGGAAAGAGCTGGATTCCCCAGTGCTAAGAGTGGCTTGCCCCTCCCTGGACCATGTGGGAAGGAACCCCCAACACAGAGCCAGGAGTATCCCCTGAGTACTTGGAGGTGTGAGTAACCCCACTCTACCTCAACACTCCAAAATAAAAATAAAACCCAAATGCTACAAAAGCTCAAGAGAGAACTTAATTTATAACGCAGCTGCTTCAGCTGGGTTAGACTCAGGATGACTATCCCATACAGTTATGGAAGAAAAACCCTGTATCAGCATGAGGTTTCAAAGTTAACCACCTAGATAAGGGGAGTCATTTCTCAGGTTGGAAAAGGTTTAGATAGCCTCAACTTCTAAGACTAAAAGAGCACAATGGATCTTGTTCAGCTTCAGTGGATCACATTTGGCAAGGATGGAGAGATTGGATGTTGTGTGAAGGGCTTTGGCCAATTGCTGAAGCTGGATGAAGAAAATGGGAGTTTGTAACTGTCAGGTTCTGTTGGAAATTTTCTGATAGGTATGTTTTGGTTGGAATGTAAAAAGGTGAAAGCAAGGGTAAACTGGTGAGGGCATGTGTTCTCCACCCCCCCCCCCCCCCCCAATACACTGCAGGACAAGGAATACTCTCGGCTGGTACAACTGGGTTCTTTGGTGGGAGGCAGGAGAAAAGTGCAGAGATTGGAAGAGGTCCACGCCGGGATCGGGGGGGCATGATGAAGTCCAGAAGTCAGTTTCTTAGAATGGATGGACGGACCAAATGAAAACCTAGTGGCATCTGTTAGCTGGGTAGGCCCGAAGGTGCTGGGTGAATTAGGGAAAGAATCTCTCCACTTGTGGACCTGGAGCCAGGCTGCCCAAGTTTCTCTCCCAGAGATGCCAGGAGACCAGCAGGTGAGGGTAAGAACTTGGATGGCTGAAGTCTTTTTGCTCTCTGGAGAAGCCTGCATTCTCTCTTGAATGTGTGTTAAGTATGTATGTTTGTATATATCTATCTCCTCTCTAAATTTCTTTCAATAAAACTACTCTGCTTCAGGGGTGGGAGAATAGGCCAGTAGGTAATGGGTTTGTCAGACCCAGATTCGATCCCTGACATCCCAAATGGTTCCCAAGCACTGCCAGAAGCGATTCCCGAGGACACAGCCAGGAGTAACCCGAGCACTGCTGGCCGTTATCCCCAAGCTTAAAAAAAGAAACCAACGATTTTGCTTCACCTCCTCTTGTGCACCCCCTCACCCCAAAAGAACTCAGATGTCCCAGAAGGGGCTTGCATTTGATACAAGCAGGTGCCTTGAGAATGGGGAGCTTCCAGCACGGAAACCTGGACTCCAGGGGAAGGGTGGGAAGGGCAGCCACCCCACCCGCACCCCACAAGCTCCCCACATAGCCCCCGCATCAACACAGCCAGCAACTCCGTTCTACAGTTTATTGGGTTTATAACTGGACAAAGTCACACTTGTACAAAATGAAGCTCACACTATCCCAAAGCAGAGCAGGGGCTGAGGGCTGGGGAATCCGTTACTGGCCTCTGGGGGAGCTCCGAGGTGACGGGCAGCCAAGCCTTCCACTCCAGAGAGATGTGGCCACGGGGGAGGGAGGAGAGAAGGGCCCACCTGACTTTGGTCACACAACTCAGAGCTTAGCAATGGGCCAGGAAGACAGATGGATGGAGGAGTCGGAGCCCCGGGAACCAGCCTGCCAGGGGGTCCAGGGACCGCCCCCCCCCCCCCCCCCCAGTTCCGCTCGCAGTGTGGTTGGTCCAGACCTAGACTCAGGGGCTGGTGCAAAGGGAAGGCAGCAAAGCAGGAGGGAGAAGACACGGACGTGTGGTGGCTGGCCAGGGGCACGGGCCGGGGGATTGGGGAGTGGGGGGCGGGCGGCAGGCTAGCGTCAGCGGGCGGCTAGCAGCGGGTCTCATAGATGCCGCTGCGGCCAATGTAGCGCACCCATTTGATGACATCGTGGTCGCTGTAGTTCAGCTTCGGTTCAAACACCTTCAAGTAGCGCACCTTGAGGCCAGAGGGTGCGAATGGCACCTGGGCAAGGGACAGTCCCAGTTAGGAAGAGGGCCTTCCTACGCCTATGTGTTCTGATATCTCGGAAGTCCCACAGCCCTGTCCTGCCTCACGGTAATTTCAGGGTGAAACAGACCGAATGGGATCTTAAAAGCAGGAGGGTAGGGGGAGGACAGGGAGACAGGACGGGGGTTAAGGGGCTTGCTTTGCACGGGACAGACCAGCTCTGATCTCCAGCACCACGTATAGTCCCCTGAGCCCCAGCAGGAGTGACCCCTGAGCACAGAGCCAGGAAGGAGCCCTGAGCACTCACAAGTGTGGCTCAGAAAACAAAACAAAAAACAGCTAAGGAGTCCTTGAAGAGATTACTAAAGAAAAAATTATATCCTAGGGTAACTAACAATCATTTTAGGTTTAGAGTCAGGCCCTGCTTGTAATAACTTGAATCAATTTGCTTTAATCAGTAGGAGGCAGCAACCATAGAAATGACTCGATACTTAAGCTGTTCAATATTATGCGCTTAAAATAAGGTGGAGAAAATTATATGTCTAAAATACACGCAGCAAAGTCAGCCCTTTTTTCTGCCTGCAAGCAAACTTTGTGTCTTATCTACCAATCAATTTAAAAATATTCCAAGAACTGTTTTAAGAGCACGCCAAATGAAGCAAAAGGTTTCTGTGTGGGTGGTAGGGACAGCTTAAATGAAGTGGTCTTTGCACATGGGAGTCCTGGGTTTGGTCCCGGCATCTCAGGGTTCCCCAAGAACCACTGGGGGTGTCCCCCAAGTGTGGAGCCAGAAGTAGCCTCCAAGCACTGCTGGAGCTGGCACAAAAACAACGCAAAAAAACTCTTTCTTTGGGGTGGTGGGAGGTGGTGTTTGGGGCCACACCTAGCAGTGCTTAAGGGCTACTGGCTATGTCCAGGAATAGCCCCACGCGATGCTTAGGAGACCATACATGGTGAAGGAGATTCAAAGCAGGATCACAGCTGACCCTGCCTCCTGGACCTTCCCTCCAGCCCCCTCCAAAGACTTCTGTCAGCGTGGAGAGTAATTTCTAGTGGGAGCTGAAGGGGAAAGAAACGGGTCCCTGTCTCCAGGTCACTGTGCTCTCTAGGGCTCGGTTTCCTCTTCTGCCAGGGGCAAAGGTCGATCAGAAAGATCTCTCTTTCCTGGCACCCTCTACCCTGATTCTAAGCCCCGCCTCCTCTCCCATACCTCAAAGTTCATGGAAATGGGGGGTCGAGCCCATTTCTTCTTGTCGTTGGTGGGCAGCAGTTCAATCTCTGCACTGATCTGGGATTCCTTCATGCCGGCCATGCGCTTGATCCTGGAAACAAAGGCAATGGGCAACACTTGCCCTCGGGAACCTGAAGGACCCCCAGGGAGGGTGGTGAGGGTGTGTGTGTGTGTGTGTGTGTGGTGTGTGTGTGTGTGTGTGAGAGGGACCCCCAGGGAGGGTGGTGAGAGGGTGTGTGTGTGTGTGTGTGTGTGTGTGTGTGTGTGTGTGTAGGCAGCACCGAGGAGGGTGCTCACTCCAGCCCTCAGGCAGGCACTCACTTCCACACGATGGCGTTCTCGCTGGCCTTGTACTTGGCCTTCCCCTTCATGCAGATCACCTGCACCCCACTCGTGTTCAGCGGGGTCGGGATCCTCACCTGGAAGGACACGAGCATGCTCAGGGGGACTGCCCAGCCCCGGCCGCTGCCTGGCGTCCCCTCCCTGGCGCCTCCTGCTCACCTCGATCTTCTGAGCAAGAAGGGACGGCTTGAAGTTGGACTTGATGACCACCTTGACTTCCAGCTTGGTGCGCCCCACTTCCCGCACCAGCGGGATCACGCGGAAAGGGAGGATGATGTCCTTGGTGGTGCGATACCTTCAGCGGCCGGGAGCGAAGGCGGGTGTCAGCCCCGCCCTGCCCCGTCCCACCCCATCCCGACTCCCCTCGACCCCCAGCACCTCATGAGCTCAAACTCTCCGTCGGGCGGGATGAAGCTGATGCTGCGCTCCGAGTCAAACTTGCTGAGTCGCACACACTGGTGGAAGGTGCAGTCGTCGATGGCGATCGACTGCTTCCCGCTGCAAGCAGGGTACAGGCCGCTTCAGGCCCCAGCCACAGGGGCGTGGGCCGCCCCCCCAAAGGCCCCCCGAGCCACGGCGAGGTTTGCACCATGAAAAGCTGACCCGAGAACAGCTTTCTGACCCACTGGGGGAGTGGGAGCTTCGCAAGCTCATCATGTGTGGGGTGGGGGGCGGGAAGGGGGTGTCTGTGGCGCCCGACCCAGAGGGGCAGAGACCAAGAACATGCACAGAAGCGCCTCTGGTTCCAGAAATCTGACAAGGGTCAGTATGACCCTGAGTCGTCATCCCCCGCCCCAAGCAGGGTCAGCCACCAGGCACACCCAGGACAAGATGCGAGGCCCGAGGAGCTTGGGACCGAGCAGACCTACTCGGCCCTCCCCCACGCCATGGCCTGGCCTCCGCACCTCTTGCTGGTCTCGTCAGCTGTGCCTTTGCCTTGCTTCTCAATGACTATCTTGTCGTTCATCCCGAACTTGCACTCGGGCATGCCGCTCAGGTAGCTCTTCATCACCACCCGGCCAGACACGTGGGCACTCAGCACCTGTCCTGAAGAGGGACGGGAAAGCGAGGGAGCTGAGCGAGGCCCAGCCCCGGTGCTGGCCCCTGCTGGCTGCCCCCGGGCGCCACCGAGTCCTTACCCTGCGGGGACATGAGCAGGTTGACGCTCTCCAGCACATCCAGGAAGAGCTCGTTCCGGCGATACTTGATGCCTTCCCGCCGCCAGCCGATCTGCCCGGTCACCTGGCTGGTGATCTGGGACTGCTCTTCTTTCGTCTACATGGGGGCCCCCGTGAGACAAATGACAATGGCCTGGCTCCTCTCCCCCCAACCTCACCTCCAGTGCCCACCCGTGTCCGGTCCCACAAGCCCCTGGGGGTGGAAGGGGTGGGGAGGAAGCGGAGGAAACAGTTACCTGATGCTGAGAGCCAAAGGGTGAGAGGGGTGGGCCCAGGGGGCAGCAGCGGAGCAGACAGGAGGAGGAGGGTGGAAAGAGGGAGAAGACAGTGAGGCCGTGACCTCCGGAGGGCACCAGCTCTCCCGGGGCCCCACCTCCCCGGGGCAGAAGGAAACCGCTAGGGTTGAATTCTGAGGAAGGGAGGTGCTGAGTCGGCTGCAGCTGGGGTGGGACCAAGCCTGCAGAGGGCTCCAGCCAGCACTTCCTGTGCCGGTCAGCTGAGGGGGGGGGGGGCTTAGTCGGTCCAGGTACCTGGCTCTTGATGCCTTGCTGGGTGATGAAGGTTTTCAGCGCGCCTGTCTCAGAGTTCTGTGGGTAGCCAAAGTCCAGGATCTCTGCAAAACGAAGGCCTGTCAGGCCCTGGAAAACACTGAAGACTATTTTCTTGTAATCCCTCCCCTACTCTGGCTAACACTGGCCATTACGGCTCTGGCAGAAAAAAAGCGTCCACTGCTGCCATCTAGATCTGGGACTTGTGCTCAAAGGAAAGCAATTAAAGGGTCAGATTTGTTTGGTTTCATCCAACAGATAAAGTCAACAGAAGAGTCACACATGGTGCTTTAAGAGATGGGGAAGGCAGGAACCCACAAAGCCTACCAAGAAGGGAGCTGGAGAGACAGTACAGCAGGGGGCCAACGGGCTCGACCCCTGGCACCCCTTAGGGTCCCCGGAGCACTGCCAGAAGTGATCCCTGTGTGCAGAGCCTGGACTAAGCCTTGAGTACCACCAGACATGACTCCCAAAAGCAAAAGCAAAAGAAACAAAACCAAATCCTATAGGTGAACCACAGCAACAACACAGCCCCAGGGACTCATGTGCCCCCTTCTTCCAGACTCCGGGACCAATGTCGTGAGCTGCAGGTACTGTCTGTGAATTGAGGCCCAACCCCCCAAGGGCAGCTGGGGATCGAGGCTGCCTGCAGCTCTCCAGGCTGGCCTGCCTCGGGCCTGCCTCTGAGCAGCCTGGGGTGCCGATCTGGACCCCAGACCGTTCTTGGGGCTCCAGAGAGGCGCCGAGGTCACCCTGCCTCCCCCCACCCCTGGCCGCTGGGGCCAGCCTCACCGTCCAGCAGCTCGTAGATGAGCACAAAGTTGTTCTTGATGTTCTCCTCGCTGATCTTGCCAAAATAGGCCGCCATCACGTCGCACATCTTGTAGAGAAACTCGAAGACCATGGCGGCGTTGACATTCTGCTTGGTGACGGCTGCCAGCCAGATGTTGGACCGCTTGACATGGAAGAAGCTGGTGCGAGCGATGTTGGTGACAGGGCTACGCACCTGCTGCCGGGCATGGATGACATTGACCCGGAAGGCGTCCACCGCATTCCTCCTGGCAAGACAGCACCCAGGATAAGCGCCGAGGCGGGGATCAGCCTTTGGCGGAGGGTCCTCACCCACTCACTGCGAAAATCCAGCCCCCGCCCACACCTGAGGCTGAAAAGACTGGGGTGACACCTTTGTGACCCTAGTGAGGGGGACAGGGTTGGGTGGGTGGAGGGATGGCCTGGGTCAGCTGGGATACGGGCTGTCTCGCAGTGAGGGCCTACGAGGGCAGAAGGGCAGTTTCGCTAAGGTAAGGTCCAGCGGGGGGCGGCTCCCAGCCCGCATCCCAGCCCTACCCCTCTGCCAGGGCCACCTCCGGCTGCCCGGGGAGCTCTGGGCCCAGAGAGAAAGAGATGCTGCTGCTTCTGCCACTGGCCCACCCGGGACCCCCCCCCCCACCAGAGTAGGGAGTGGCCCCACAAATTCCACGAGCCCCGGGGGGCCCCACAGAAGCTGAGCCAGGCACGGAGCCAGGGGCGGCCCAGGCCGTGAAGCTGCACTCCCAGTTCTGGTCCCTGCCCTCATCCCGGGGCCGGCTCAGAGGAGGAAAGAGGCTGAAGAAGACCACGATGGGGGGCAGGGCCCCCACCCACCTGTGCCTCGGCAGCAGCTTGACCGGCCGCTTACCTATTGCTACGGCAGCCAATGAGATGGGATGAGAGAAATGACGCCAGCAAGAGGAGGAGAGTGACAGCAACGAGAGAGAGGGTTAGACACCACACACGGGGGAGGGGGGGCAGCACGCACCATGAGGAAGAGGCCGACAGCCAGGGCCGGAGTCAGGGGCAGAGCCAGGCGTGCGGCGGTGTGTGCCCTGGCCCAGCCCACTCAGGCCAGCCAGGGTGAGAGAGGGGCACGAACGGGGGCTGCCAGCCAGGCGATGCCAGGACCCCACGGCATGCCCCCCCACCCCCTGGGGTGAAGGGCCACGAAGGGCAGGCCAGCTCATCAGCAGGAAGCTGCCCCTCCTCCTGCTGGGGGAGGGTGTTGGGGGGGGGGGGCTCTGTGACAGGCCAACTCAGGCTGTCCTCCCAAGCACACTGAGAAAGAAAAACAGCCCGGCAAAGCAAGGCGCCTCATCTCCTTAGAACTGGCAAGGCGGCCCCTGAGAAAGCACAAGGACATGCAGGGGAGCTGCAGAGGCGGGAGGCAGGGAGAGAAGTAGGGCTGGGCCTCCTCAAAGGCGGGGGGACCAAGGACAAACAGCTGCTGGTGATCTACTGGTGGTGAGGAAGGCCTCCGGGGCAAAAGAGCTGAGCCTGCAGCCTGCCTCCTCCCGGAGGGGGGCTGGGGATAGCACAGCCCAGAGAGGCTGAGAGAAGCCAGAGACATCTCCCCAACAGCTTTTCCGAGATCAAGCAGGGCCTCCAGCAGAGCCACCAAGTCCCTTTCCTGGAGACAGCTCCCCCCACTCTGAGAAGGATGCGATCCGCCCAGGCATCAGCGTTCATGTCTACCAAGGGGCACGGGAGGCAGGAGTCGCCCCTGGGCACATCCCCATCCCTGGTCCTGGCTGGGCTGCCGGGCAATTGCCACGGGGCCTGATGGCGGAGCAGCTGCGCTTCCAGGGCCCAGCGGAGGGTGTGGGTGGCCCAAGTCACGCCTCTGGTGGGAACATGGGAACAGATGCGGGGGGCCCTGCCATGCCGGGGAGAGGGGACAGGGGGGCCACAGCTGGCCAGGCCCGGGGCACTCACCCGATGTCATCTCGGTAGACCCGGGAGATGAGCACCTCTCCCTTGTGATTATAGATGAACAAGCCTCCGATCATGGCGGCAGCTCAGTCTCCGCAGCCCATCCTCCGAGAACTGACCTAGGGCGGGCGGGGCGGCAGGAAGGGGGAGGAAGGGGCAGCTCAGATCCGGGCCCAGAACCCGGTCAGCGTGGGCTCCCCCCACCCGGCTCTGGGCTCCCTCCCCTTCGCCTGGCTGGCTGGCTGGCTGGCTGCTAAGTTCCTGTTTATCCCTGCTGGAAGGCAGAGGGGGGAGGGGGCCTGGGCGCCCTCCCCCTGCCCTGCACCCACCGGGCGAGCTGGGCGCTGGCCTGCCCGGTTCGGCCCGGCCCGATCCCCCCAGGCCCAGCCCGGGCCCCGCTGCCCCTTCCTGCCGGCCTCCCGGGGCTCGGGCGTGAGTCACGCCGCGGCCCGCCTGCGGCTGCGGGAACGGCGGTAGGAATTACTCCAGCTCGGCGGCCCGAGGGCCCCCGGGCACGGCTTTGGGAGCACCCGGGCCGCGTCCCCTTTCCGAGAAGGCGGCGGGCCCGACCCGCGGCGCCGCGGTTGGCCGAAGCCGCGACATTCCAGGAAAGGGCGTGCGGGAGGCGGCGCGGGCCAGCCTGGGGCCGAGGCGGGCGGGCTCCCACCGCCCTGCAGATAAGCGGGCCCGGGAGCGGCAGGGCGGCAAGGTCGCCTCCCGCGGGCCCGCTCGCCGGCCCCCAGCCGCGGGCCCCGACCCCCGTCCCCAGCCCCCCGCACGAGGTGCAGCCCCAGCAGGGCCGGGGGTGAGGGGGGAAGGGGGGTTTGTGCGTTGCGGCTGCACACCCGAAGTCATCTTCCAGCGGAAGTGCTGAGATTCGCGCCCCCCACCCCGCGCCCCGCCGGAGATGCCCCGATTTGGGGGGCGGGGGTGGGGGGGTCAGATCCATCTGGCCCTGTGGGGTTCGTTTAAATGACAGGCCTGGGTCTGCCAGTCCAAGCCCTCGTCCGTCCTTTCTGGGGGGAAGAGAATGGAACTGGTATGCCCCCCTCCGCCCGCAAAGCCCTCGAAGTCGGACAGGACTGGGGAGGGGGGTCCCTCTGCGCGGTGGGGGGTGGGCGGCTCTCCCCCTCCGCCGGTTCCCCAGCAGCTGGGGGCCGAAATGCGGAATGGATGCGAGGGAGAGCCCGGGCGGAGCCCCAAGATCACAGGTATCAAGTGGAAGGGAGTTGGGGCCCCGGAGAAAGGGGGGGATGGGGCCCGGGCGAGCGGAATATCCGACCGAGGGCAAGGCCTGGCAGCCAGGCGATGCCCCCCGGCCCCCTGTCCTCGGCAGCCCACGGCGGGGCGGGGCTGGGGGCAAGAGTCCCGGGAAGGAGCCTCCAGGGGGGCAAAGGGCACGGCTCGCCAGAGGCACGGCGGGGGGTGGGGTGGGGTGGGGGCCCGCGGTCGGCCCTGGGGGTCGGGTGCGAGGGGGTAGGGGCGGTCGGGGGGGAGGGTGGGCTTCTCGCCCGTGGGGGAAGATGGTCCCGCACGGCGTGCGGACGGCCGGGCGGCAGGAGGGGGCGCGCGGGGCGCCCCTCTGTCGGGGGGGAGGGATCGTCGCGGGGCTGGGGGCGCCTGTCACGGCCCTGGGAGGACGGCCCGCCCGGCTGTCACCGTCCGGGGCGACAGCGGGGTGGGGTGGTGGGGGTGGGGGTGGGCGACCGTCCTTGCCCGAGGGCGGCTGTCACGATTCCCGGGCCGGGGGTGCCGCGCGGGCGTCCCCGCTCGGGGAAGATTCCAAGCAGGCGGCCCGGTCCCGCGGGGGGGCGCCAGGCGTAGGTGCGGGGGGGGGGGGGGCCGCCGCTCCCGCGCCCCGGGCGCCCCCGCCCGCCCGCAGCTCCCGCGGGGACCCGCAGGCAAAGGCCGCTCCCGGGCGTGGGCAGCGGGCGGCGCGGCGCGGCGCGGCGCGGGGCAGGGAAGGGCCGCGTCCGCCCTCGCTTCCGCGGCGCCAGGTCCCGAGCTCACCTGCTGTCCGCGGCCCCGGCTCGGCCGGCGCGGCCACTCGCGGGATCCCAAGATGTCCGCCCGCCCGCCCCCCGCTCGCCGGCCCGCTGCCTCGGCTTTCACCGCAGTGCCGCGGCCCCGCCCCGGCCCCCGCTGCGCCTGCGCGTCCGGCGGGACTACGAGTCCCGGCAGCCACCGCGGCCCGCTCGCCGCTGGACTACAAGTCCCGACTGCCCCGGGAGCCTCCGGCGGGTGGGGCGCGCTGGCCCGGGGACGGGGAGGGGCGGCCGGGGCTCGCCCTGCGCCGCGCAGCTTTCGCCCTGCCCGGCACGCCCGCCTCGCGCCTCTGGGTCCTTCTGGGAGTTGTAGTCTCCGGAATCCCTCCCGCTCCCCTGCCTTCGAGTGTTTTCGAGCGCCCGGGAGACGTGGAAGGGCCGAGGCCTTTTCTTTTTCCGACAGAGTCCAGGGCTGGCTCTCCAGGCTCGACACACGGACTCCAAATTTGGCACTCACTCGTGCTGAGTTGACTTCTAACATCGCCTCTCGTTTTCCCCAAGTCTTGCCTAAGATATGTCTGCTCCAGACTTATGTCGGGGGTGTTTTTTGTTTCGATTCTTGATTTGGGGGCCACACCCGGCGGTGCTGTTTTGTGCTTCGGAGCACACACTCGCCGAGGTGGTCCGGGAGCAAACCCCAGGCACTGGGCTCTCTCTCTGACCCTGCAGAATTATTTCCTCCCCAGGAGCAGAGCGGGGCACATCCTCGAAGGCACTTGCTGAAACTTTTTGGTATGTGTCCGTATTGCCCCGTAGCTACTTTTATGCGCCTCTGAGCCCCTCCAGACCAGAACCTGTATGTCTTCTAGTGGCAGAAGTATGTGTCGCCTAGAAATCTATTCGCAAGGGGGCTGGAGAGAGAGAAGAGTGAGCAGGCACTTGCCTTGCACGTGGCTGACTCGGTAAGATCCCCGGCACCCCATAGGGTCCCCCAGGCTAATCCCAAGGGATCAGGAGTGATCCCTGAGTGCAGAGACAGGAGTTAGCCATGAGCACCTAACATTTGTGGCCACCCAAAACTAAAAAGGAGGAAGGGGAAGAGAGAGGAAGGATGGACTCTTAGCAGTTAATTTAGTTTTAAGTTACTTTCTTTTTACTTTACTTTTTACTTTTGAACGTGGCACTTTCTAAAATCTCAGGGCTAGGACGAAGGAGATGTTACCAGGGAAATCGATGAACAGGATGACAGTGATACAGTGATTCTGTTTAGGGGTGGGGGGAGTCACACCTGGATGTGCTCAAGGCTCACTGCTGGTGGTGCTCAGGGAAAGGTGATGCTGGAGTCCACAGCATGCAAGACAAGTGCCTTAACTCTTGCACTACCTCTGGCCATTGGCGAGTTGCCTTTACCTGAAAATTAGATTTTTGAACTCCCCAATAAAGTGAATTTCCCACCCATGCTGTGAGACAGGTAACCCCAGGACATAACTCATGCAGGATCAGAAGAAAACCTGTTGGCTTTTCTCCTCCTTCCTGTTCCCTCCATCCTCCCGCTGGAAATGAGGATGACTAGGGGTGCAAGACTGGCCTTCCTCACTCCTCCCTTTCCAAATGTTTCATCTCCCACAGAAATCCTAAACCCATTCTAATTCAGAGCAAAATAATAGTAGTAGTAGTGGTAAATAATAATAGCTACCATTTATTGAGCACCTAGTCTACTGTGTGCCAGGCACTGTGCGAGGCACCTTTCGTACACTATCTAATTTAATCCTCACAACAACCCTGTGAGGTAGGTATTATTATCGTCATTTTACATACGAGGGAATCGAGGCTCAGAGAGAATGAATAACTCTATCACGCAACCGAAAGAGTAGCAGAACTGGTAGTCAAACCCAGAACCACCGGACCCCAAGTCCCATGCTCTGGTAAACTAGAGGCAGAGGAAGAAGGAGGGCCAAGTTCAAAGAAAGTCGATGGAGCGGAATGGCTATGATATGGTGACTAGTAAGACATCGGAAGGAACTGAAGGCCACCAGGACTCCTAGCTGGTGAGCCTGTGCGGACTGTGATGAAGGAACCAGGGACTGGAATTTAGGATGACACCCGAAAGGGGGAAGACGACCTGAGGCTCTACGGACATGTTTGTGGAGCTGTCCAGTGGGTGATAAAGACGCAGGTCTAAAGACTGGAGGGAAGTGGGGGCTGGAGATGGAGATTTGGAGACCACTAGCATGTCAGTGGCAGGAGGGATGACAGCCTTTTCTTTCTTTTGGGGGGATAAGGGGGTTTGGACCACACCCTGCAGTGCTCAGGTCTTACTCCTGGCTCTGTGCTCAGGGATCATCCTGGCAGTGCCAGGGATCAAACCAAGTCTGTCACATATGAGGCCGTACCCCCTGTACTATCTCCTGGCTCCTGGATGACATCCTTTGGGGGAGTAAAAGAGCAAAGAGAAGAGGACCAAAGACAGAACACGGGGAGCACCAACACTGAAGGCAATGACGAAGGAGTTCTCGAGAGTCCAACAAGGCAGAGGATAAAAGAGAAGAACGGGGGGGGGGGGGGCGGGGGACAGCTGGAAGCAAACCCAGAGCTCCGATCACACTTGGGACAGAGTCCTCACCTCGAAACCCCCAGGGAATATTGGTTCAAGTGAACACATGCCCCAGAGCCTGGCGCCCTGGCCTTCACCTCACAGCTGACACTCCAGGCTTAAGAGCCCGGGAGCCTAGGGGAGCCAGGGAAAGCTCTAGATGAAGCTTTAAGATGAGTCAGGATTTGCCGCAGTGGAGGGGAAGGCAAACGCTGTGGCCTGGCTGTCTGCAAGCCCCAGAAGCCCCTTGCCCAGCCTGCTCTGGGCTAGTATGGCAAAGTAACAGGGAGGGGATGTGGGGCGAGAAGGACGGTCCGTTTCCTGGCGAATCCTCACTGGGCTCAGTGAGCCCCCGCCTCTGGGCTTTGTGCAGGTAGGAAGAGGAAGGGGGCGTGTGGGAGGCTTGAGGAAGGGGAGATGGGAGTCTGGGGACCAGCCCCACAACCCGGAGAGGACTGGAGAGAGGGCCCAGCCCTCTGGACAGGGACCAGCCCTGAGGCTTACGAGAACTTTGCATAGGCACGTGTGTGTTTGTGTGTGTGTGTGTGTGTGTGTGTGTGTGAGAGAGAGAGAGAGAGAGAGAGAGAGAGAGAGAGAGAGAGAGAGAAGGAGAGAAAGGGGGAATAGAGTCACAAACACAGGTGAGTGGCTGGGGCCCTCCCCCCAAAAGCCTAGTGTCTCTACATGCTGAAGTGTGGGTGTGGGGTGGGGGTGGGGCTGAATATCCTTGGGGAGCCCTGAGGGGCTGCAGAAGCAGGGTTCCTGGTCTCCTCCGAGGCTGGGCCTCCCCTCGCTGGGGACTCACAGAAAGTCAAACAGCCCGAAACTCTTGGCTGCTCCAGGCCCAGGAAAAATGGAGGGAGGGGAGAAAAAGAAAGAAGAGAAATGTTTCAGGCTCGGAGACGAGCTGAGCCTGCGTGTTAGTAGGATTAGGGGCTGAGCGAGCCAGCACACCGGGCAGACGTGGGGGGAGGGGGGAGACGAGGGAGGGTCCCCGAAAGCCACTAGCAGCAGCTCAGGCAGTGAAGGGGAGCCCTTTGGGCTTCTGCCACGGACAACCCAGGTAGGGAAAGCATGGAAAGTCCCTGGGCGTGACCACGGCCCCTGATGGGGGACTGGCCAGCGGGCAGACAAGGCTGGGAGGGAACAGGTGAAGGAACTCCTTGACGGGGAGAGGTGTCAGGACAATGGGAAACGGGAGAGACTGGCACACATGCTTCAGGGGACGGGTTATCGGAGGGGTGACAGCTGACTGCAGAAAGGGCGCTGAGGGGGGACAGGCCTCAGCAGCCCCGCGATGTGAGCAGGGGTGAGGCGGTGGGTGGGGCAGCACCAGGTCAGGGTCCCAGAGTCCCAGGCTGCGGTTAGTGGCGGAGGGCACAAGCCGGGCGGTAGCAGGTTAGCGCTGCAGCGGCGATCGGTGGGGAGGCCCAGCGAGCAGTTAGCGCGCCAGGATTTAGTTCCGTTTATTTCCCTTTCAGGTCCACGACAGAAGTCAAAAAAGGCGGAGGGAAGGCAGGCCGGAGGAGGGGCGCGGGGACTGGCGGAGGGGAGAGGGGGGCCCTGCTCACATCACATCCACAAAGAACTCACTGGGGTTGCCCATGGCCATGCGGAAGGACTGTCTGCTGGCGGTCAGTTCGGGGGGCACGGAGGCCAGGTCGCGGCCGGGGGGCGCGCCCGGGGGCCCCATGGCCGCGGGCGGCGGGGGGCATCATCAGCACGGGTGGCCCGTAGAGCGGGGGCACGCCCGGGGGCCCGTAGCTGGGGTGCGTGTGGTGGCTGCGCAGGCTGCCGGCCAGCGAGTGGTGGCTGCGGTGGCTGTGCTCGCTGGCCGGGCCCGAGCGCTCGCTGGGCGCCCGCTCCCGCGCGCGCAGGCTGCCGCGGCTCGTGTGGTCCGACTCGCTGCCGCTGCCGCCCGACTTGGAGTCCCCGGCCTTGGGGTCCTTCTCCTTCCGCCGGTCGCTGCCGCTGCGGTTGGAGCCGCTGCTCCGGCTGCCTGCGGGGGCGATGGGGGGGAAGACACACGGGCACGGCGGGGCTCAGCACCGGGACCCCCTCCCGGCTCTCGGGATGCGGGGTTCAGCACCTGGGGCCCCTACCGGCCACCGGTGGGGCTCAGCATCGGGACCCCTTCCCGGCCTTTGGGGTGCGGGACCCAGCACCCGGGACCCCTCCCGCCTCCCCCCCCACCGGGCGGCCCGTACCCCCTTCCTTACCTTCACTGTGCTGGCTGCTGGCGCTGCCTCCGCCGTAGCTGTAGCCCAGCTCGGGGAAGCCCGGGTGCGGGTTGTAGGGGTGCGGGGGCGGCGGGTACTGGTAGGGGAAGGCCATGGGCCACGGGGCGGCCCCCGGGTGCGGCAGCGGCGCCAGTGTGTCCTGGTCCGAGGCGCCGCTGGAGCCGTCGTGGTCGTGCAGGGCCAGGTTGGCCATGTCTGGGGAGGACAGGAGGGCTGCGTGGGGGCAGGTCCGGCGTCCCGGTCCCACGACAGCCACGGCCTAAACACCGGCACTCACTCGCTCGCACTCGGCTGCAGCTGGGGGTGCTGCAGAGCCGGTCCCAGGGAGTACCTCCTCACCCCTGCAGAGGCCCCAAGTCATGACCCCCACCGCCCCAAATCCGGGTGCCCAGCTTGGGGCACTGTGTCTCCCACAGCTACGGCACACCCACCACACGTCAGGCGCAAGACCGGGGCTTCCTTCCCAGGCTCCCATTCCCAGAGGTAGAGGAAGGAAGCTTGGAGACACATTTTTGTTTGGGGGCCATACCTGGCAATGCTCAGGGCTTACTCCAGGCCCTGCACTCAGGGATCACTCCTGGAAGTTTGGGACCATACGTGATGGGGAAGACTGAATCCAGGTCAGCCGCATGCAAGGCAAGTGCCCTCCCCGCTAGACTATCGCCCAGACCCCTAAAGTCATTTTATCTAGACGAGGAAAGGGAAGTCCTAAGAGGGAGACCCACTATACTGAGACCAACCCAAGCAGTAGCCACAGAGTAAGCGCTGCCAACTTTCAGGGGGCTAGAGAGATAGAACAGCAGTGAGGGCATTGGCTGCTGACCTGGATTCAATTCCTGGCAGCCCAAGTGGTCCCCTGAGCCTGCCAGGAGTGATCCCAGAGCACCACCAGCTGTGCACCTCTCCCAAAGTCATTAAATAAATAACTGCTTACTAATGATCTAATCTCACAGATATTCAATGAAAAAAATTTTTTTAAAAGTTAAAAAAAAGGGGGGGCTAGAGTGATAGCACAGCAGGTAGGGCATTTGCCTTGCATGCAGCTGACTCGGGTTCAATTCCCAGCATCCCATATGGTCCCCTGAGCACTGCCAGGAGTAATTTCTGAGTGCATGAACCAGAAGTAACCCCTGTGCATCGCCAGGTGTGACGCAAAAAAGAAAAAAAGTAAAAAGTAAAAAAAAAAAGGGGGGGCTGGAGCAACAGCACAGTGGGTAGGGCATCTGCCTTGCATGTGGCTGACCCGGGTTCAATTCTCAGCATCCTATATGGTCCCCGAGCACTGCCAGGGGTCCAGGGGTAATTCCTGAGTGCACAAGTCAGGAGTAATCCCTGTGCATCGGTGGGTGTGACCCAAAAAGCAAAAATAAATAAAAGTTTTTTCCTTGCATTGATTAAAAAAAAAAAGAACTGTTTACTTTCTCCTTACCTCAAGGATGAGGCCTGAGGTCTTTAGCAGGGGCCAGTATTGAGGGAACAGGGGTGGAAGGGGAGGTGGTATATGACCTTTTGCCCTCCCCTCTCTCAGGACTGAAAATAAATGACTGAAAGCCAGCAGGAGGGACCAGAGGGAGAACTCCATGGGCTCACCACATTTTTTATGTAGGAGGCCCAGGTTGAATTCCCAACACCATATAATCCCCTGACAATGCTGGGTATATGCCCTAAAACCAACCAAACAAACAAACAAAATGAAGGCTGGGCCTTTCGGGGTCTAGCCCTCAGGGGCCAGTGTTCCAGTGCTGCTGAGGGAAGCGTGGGTAGGTGAGGAAGGCCCAGAGAGCAGCCGGAGGCTTCCCCTGTGCTACCTGTGTCCTGCCAGGTCTGGCCCTTCAGCTGGGTGCTGTTCCCTGTGAGAAGGGAAATCACTAGCTGCTCTGTTTGTTTGGGGCCACGCCCTGGGTACTCAGGCCTTACTGCTAGAAGTCTCCTGGTGGACCACACAGGAAGCAGAGAGCATGGAACCTAAGTCACCCATTCAAGGCCAGTGCCCAGCCTTCGTACTATACTCCGGCCCCAGGAAAGCACCTGTCCTGTCAGAATCTCCCTGGGCCTGGCCTCTGAGGGCTTGGGAGGAACTAGAAGACACAGGAGGCCCCAGGGAAGTTGCTGAACCTCCCGTGAGATTTGTGTATCCCTTAGGCTTTGATTCGGGCTGCTTCTTCTAATATTAATAACCACACTTGATTGAATCTAAGAGAACACTGAATGTAAGATACATCGAATTTTGGAGATTCTGAAATGTGAAAAACAACAACAAAAAACAATTGTTTTTGGCCAGAGAGAGTACAGTGGGCAGGGCTTGCCCTGCGTGCGGCTGACCAGGTTTTGATCTCCGGCCTCCCAGAGGGTCCCCTGCGCACCACCAGGAGTAATTCCTGGGTGCAGAGCCAGGAGTAACCCCTGAGCATTGCTGGTTATAGCCCCCAAATGAAATCCAAACCCAACGTTCTCTTAAAATTGTTAACTACACAGTTCTTACAATGCACGAGCGCTAGAAGTCCGTCTTGCCCTCGGCACAGGAGGTGTGCTCTGAGCCCTGCTCACAGGCCAGGCCCAGCCGTGCTATATTCACTGATGGTCGCAGTGTAAGTGTGCATCCAGGAATACACTAGCTGGCTCACCCCAAACCCTATGCACCAATCACTACTTCAGGGGTCCCAAGGGACCCCCACTTCCCCGGGGACTCTCAAAATCACTCAGTGACCCCCTGGAAACCAATCACCACTAAGCAAACAGAAATCGCCCCCCAAATGCACCAGATGCTGCTACAGCCACCTCCCTCCCCCCCCCCAACAGCTCCCACATCTCCTGGGGTTGGGGAGTATCATCACTTTGGGGACACTGTCAGGTGTCTAAAACTTCATGGAAAGCGGCTTCACAGAATGGCTGCCAGGCCAGAGATAGCTCCATAGGTAGGGCACTTGCCTTGCATGCAACTGACACGGGTTTCATCCCCAGCACTCATATGGTCTCCCGAGCACTACCAGGAGTGCTCCCTGGGTGCAGAGTGAGGAGTAAGTCTTGAGCACTACAGGGTGACTCCAAACCAAATCGAAACAAAGAGAAAGGCTCCCTCAGGCAGGAGTGACTGGCGTCAGCCAAGAGCAGTGCTGTTCAGGCTGGAGGCCTGCCATGGCCAAGGGCACCCATTAACTCAGAGGAAGGGGCTCCCTGCAGACTCTCCTGCTTAGTGACCCCCGCTGGCTTTGCACTCTCGGGACCAGCTCCTGGGTACTGCCCATGGTATGGTGTAGCCTCACCATTTCCCCAGCAGAAGTGTGAGACATGGCCCACGGGGTAGAGGGATTGTGTGAGGAGGTTGCGGACATGGGGTGAGCCCCGGGGGGCTGACATGGTGCTGCGGCCAGGTCCCTGCACCATCACACAGGCCGGGGTGGGAGAGCCAGGGCTCAAGAGATCCAGAGTCAAGGTCTCACTCATCTAACTTAGCCTCCGAAGTCTCGGTCTCTCCATCCGGAAACGGAGAATAATTGGTCCCTGGGAAGGCAGGAGGAGGTCCCGAGGGCCAGGGGAGAGGAGGTGTCTGAAGCCGCGGGCGGGGTGCCAGGTGAGAATGCGGCCCTGGAATCTGCCCCAGTCCCGGGCACCACCCCCTCCTCCCTCCAGGGGAAGGGCAGGGGGCACGTACTGCCACAGAGGTCGCCAAAGATGTAGTAGCACTGCTCGGAGAAGGTGATCTTGTTGACGGTGTGGCGGATGAAGCCGGCTTTCAGCAGGTTGCTGGCATACTTGCGGGCCTCGCGCCGGTCCGTGAAGCCTTCCACATTGTGGTACAGCCAGTCCACCACGTCGGAGCCTGCGGATGAGGCGCCACTGACTCAGGGCCACCCGACCAGCACTCACATGGCCTCACACCAGCCACCAGGTGGGGCCCCCGAGGAGGTCTTGGGCCCCTGGGCTGCCCCGCCCCGTCACACCCCACCCCCCTCACTCCCCGCTGTGGGGTCTTCTCACCGATGAATGCGTTGGGGATGGTGATCTTGAGCCACATGCGATCCCGGACCTCCAGCCCGGATTCGGGAGAGGCCATGGCTTTCACGATGGCTGCCATGTCACTGTGGATGGACAGGTGGAAGTCGTCGAGGCCTGCAGGGGGAGGGGCAGAAAACAGGTCTCGAACTTAGTCAGCGCTCACCTCACCACTGCGAGGCAACGGGGTGGCCGGCCTGCCCGACACCAGGGGCCGTTCAGGTCCATTCTCCAAAGGGGTCTGAGAAGAAAGAAGCCCCCTCAGTGATGCCGCCTCACACCGCGTGTGATGTGTGGGCGATGGTGGCAGCCCGGCAGCCCTTTATGGAGTGCTGACTGCAGGCCACGTGCTGGTCACTGGCCCCAGTGACAGGAGGAAACAGCGGCTGCCCCAATGCTCAGCACAGGCTCAGAAGCAAAGCCCGGTGAGTGAGGGCTGGGTAGGCAGTCCGGAGGGGGGGAATGCGGTGGGGGGTGGCTGGAATGAGGGCGCGTCCCCGCGGGGGCGGAGGCAGGGCTCAGGGAGGACACTCACGCTCTGTGTCGGGAATGGAGCTGGTGATGGAGGAGCTGGTGGAGGTGATGGTGCTCAGGGAGGGGCTCATGCCGTAGGCGGGGAAGGTGCCGGTCATGGCGGCCGTGTGGGAGACCCAGGCCGCAGGGTCGATGGGCCGGATGGGCTCACCTGCGGGGAGGAGAAGTCAGGGGCTGTCGGGCCCTGGGGTGGGGGTGAGGGTGGGGGGACAGGGCCCCTGTGCCAGGTCACGCCCCTGCCTACTTACTCCTGGGCAGAGTGAAGCAGCCCCGTGGGCTTGGGTCCCAGCACTTGGCTACAGTCAGGGTGATGGGCCTGGAAGCAGGGCGGGGGGCTGGTGAGGGCAGGGCAGGTGCCCCTGCCCCACCGCCGCAGGGCCCCGCCCCTCGGCACGCACCCTGGCTTGTGCACGATCTCCCGCAGCACCCGCACGGCGTCGTCGTTGCTCATGTTCTCAAAGTTGATCTCGTTGACCTGGGGAGGAGGGACCGGGCGGGTGGGCAGGGGGCAGGGCTGCGGAGCTGGCTGGGGACTGCCCTCCGCCGGGAGGGCCCTGGGCATGGGGTACCTGTAACAGCATGTCTCCTGGCTCGATGCGGCCGTCAGCAGCCACGGCCCCGCCCTTCATGATGGAGCCGATGTAGATGCCCCCGTCCCCGCGCTCGTTGCTCTGGCCCACGATGGAGATGCCCAGGAAGTTGTATTTTTCTACGGGGACGACAAGATCTTGAGAGCGGAGCAAGAGCCAGGCTTAAACCTGGGCCTTTCCTTAGAGAAGGGTGGGCGGGGACCCTGGCCCAGGCACCATGCCTGGCGCTTCCTCTTCTCCCACTCCATTTTACAGGGGAGAGGCTGGAGACCTGGAGAAGCTCAGCCACTGGTCTCAGGCAGCAAGCGACAGTCAGAACTCAGACTCCGACTGGCATTCCGGAGAGCCCGCACAGGGCCAGGCGCACAGCCAACTCTGGTTGAATTCCCGGCACCACATATGGTTCCTCAAGCCGCCAGGAGTGATCTCAGAGCGCAGAGCCAGGAATTACCCCTACGCACTGCTGGGTGTGCCCCTCCCCCAAGTCAGCACAAAACCACCCTGAAGACCAACCGTGGGGCACTGTGCATGAGATTCAGCTCTCTCCTAAAGGAAGTGCCTAGGGCAGACGTCAGAAGATGAGACGTGATGGTGGGCAAACAGGAAGGGGGCTGGGACGAGGGACCGGCAGTCACTCGCTCTGGGAAGCTCTCGCACCATGGCTGTGTCCATCTGTCCTGGCCTGGGCCTCTGGGAGCTGCTGTGGGCTCGGGCAGACACGCATGTGCGGGGCAGCACTGACTCACCCATGTTGAGCGTGACTGTGATGATGTTGAGTGACATGGTGGAGTCCGTGATGCTGCTGAAGGACGAAGACTGCAAGAGACCGCGGCCCTGAGTGCGGGCGGCAGCGACCCCTGCTCCCGCCTGGCCACTCCTCGTGGGTGCCCCGCTCGCACCCAGCCCAGGTCCTCACCCGCTCGATTCGAGACACCTTCTGCTTCCGCCGCCGCCGCTTGTGCCTCCTCATGAGCCGCGAGGCGCTGCTCTGCTCCGTGGAGCTGCTGAACCTGCGGGGCCCACAGTCGGTCCCCACCAGGCTGGCCCTGCCCCGGCCCCCTCCCCGAGGCCCCCCTGCTCAGGGCCCGCCCGCCCCTTGGAGCCGAGCCCCAGCGCCCCACCTGCTAGTGGAGTCGTCTTCGTCAGAATCAAAGAAGCTGGTGGTCTCCAACTCACTGCTCATCAGGGTGGACGAGCTGTCGTAGCCCCCCGGCTCTCGCCGCCGCTCCCCCTTGGCTGTGCCGTTGAGCCGGGCAGCTGCGGGGGACAGGGGAGGCTGCTGGCTGACGGGCTGGGCGCAGGGCAGGGAGGGGTGGGGCGGGCCGGGAGGCAGGGCAGGCGCACCGTGCTCGGGGCCATCTCTGCGGCGCGGCCGCTCGCGCTGGGCAGACACCAGGGAGTCCGTCTCCGTGTCGTTGTCCAGGTTCTCCTGGCTGCCCCCACCAGCATGAGGGCTGCAGCGGGGAGAGGACTTGGTGGGGGACGGGCCAGGCTGGGGGCGCCCTCCCCCAGCCCTGGACTGAGCCAACAGGCCACCCCTGTCCCGGCCATGGGCCCCCCCATCCGCAGGGCCCACTCACTGGAAGGACGGAGGCCGGGAGTCCCCGATGCCCCCGGTGCGCTCCAGGGGCGGCGGCAGCTCGGCCGGGTTGTCCGCACCGAAGGGTGCTGGCTCGGGGTGCGAGCCCTCAGCGGAGACCAGCTGAGAGGCGGAAATGGGTGAGTGGGCAAAGGGGGAGAAAGGCACGTGGGCTGGGCGACGGGGGAGGGGAGGGACGGGATGCAGAGGAGGAGGGAAGAGCAGCCCTCGGTGGTTGGGGGCCACGGCAGCGGTCTGAGGGAGACCAAGCTGGGAGCCGGGAGGGAGCTGGGTGATCCCCAGCCCCCAGCGTCCCCGGCCCAGCTCTGGCCGCTGTCTCCCTGGCTTCCCCCACACCTCCTCTTCACCCAGGCTGGGGTGCTCCCGTCTGAAGGCTGGAAGGCACGTGCAGAGCCAGCAGCGAGGACCTCGGGACGGCCCACATCTGGACAGGCCAGGGAACGCAGGGCGGACGGGAAGGCGCTTACCCAGGACACCACGCGGCCATTGAAACAGGGCAGCTTGGCATTGTCGTCCGAGATCTCCTCCTTCACCACCCTGCGGGGCAAGAGGCCGGGTTGGAGAGCTTTCTGGGGGTGGGAAGGCAGGCACCCGCACAACCTCACCTCTCAGCTGGGAGGGGATCCACCCAGGGGTGGTTCTGGAACGCCCCAGGAAGATTCTAGCCCTGTCCGGTGCCCTGGCGGTGGCCTCGCTAGGGTAAACTCTTTGCCAGCAGGTGACTGACAAGACTCGGGATGAAGAAGAGGCGCTGCTGCCCACCCGACTCCCCGGGATCTCAAGCGCTTTCACCATTCCCACAGCCCTCCCAGGCTGGCCTCACTCCTTCCCATGACCAATGTGTCCTTTCCACACCCCTCCATCCACCAGTCACGCCTACTCTCACCCACAAGCACCGTCCAGCCCGAGCTCGGAGGCTCATTTCTCCCATCCTCGATAAAACAGACACAGGGCCAGAGCGACAGTACAGCAGAGAGGGCGCTTATGCCTGGCCTGGTCTGGGTTTGATCCCCAGCATCCCGCATGGTGCCCTGAGCACCTCCAGAAGTAATTCCTGAGCACAGAGCCAAGAGCAACCCCTGAGCATCATCAGGTGTGGCCCAGAAACCAAACAAATAAAACAGGCACAGACAAGGAAGTGCAGACTCAGAAGGTCCCCAAATGCACCTACACAGTGCCACCCCGCCATCTGTTGTGTCACCCTTGGTCAACTGTGGGTCTGAAATATTGTGGGTAGTAAGAGAGTGCTGCGAGGAAGGGCCACCACACAGCCCTAATTACAGTTCAATGTTCGTCATTATATTTCAGCATCAGTTACTGTTGTTACTCTACTGTAACTAATTTGTAACATGAACTAATCAAGTCTTTCCGTTAAGGTTCTGAGGCTACCAGGGCTGTGCTCAGGGCTATGCCTAGCTATGGGTGGCGGGTTCACTCCTGGTGGAACTAGGAAACCACATGAGATGCTAGAGACCAAAGTGAGGTTGGCTGCATCCAAGGAAATTGCCTGACCCCTGGTACTATTTCCAGTCTTGTTTTTATGTTTAATTCTTTTGTTTTGTTTTTGGGTCAAACCTGGCAACATTCATACTCCTGACTCTGCTCTCAGGAATTATTCATGGCATTTCTTGGGGGACCATATGGGATGCTGGTGGATAAAATCCAGGTTGGCCACAAGCAAAAAAAAAAAAAACAAAAAAGCACCCTCCTCATTATACAATCTCTTGGCCCCTTGGTTTTATTTTTAAATGGGCCTCCCAAGCAATGCATGCCAGTCCTTTAAGCTATCTCCACAGTCACTCAAATTAATCTCTCTCACAGGCCCCACAAAGAATGCACAGAGGCAAAGGCGTTTGCTTTGTACATGGCTGATGCCAGTTTGATCTCTGACACTGCCAAGAGCGATCCCTGAGCACAGAGCTAGGATTAAGTCCTAAACACTGCTGGATGTGGCCCCCAAACCAATAAATAAACCCTACTATGGCATGCTTGCTTAGGAAAACCCGCAATTTATACTGCAACTGGTACTATTTGCTGCTTGAGGTGTTCATGAGGGTCGTGTAGCCTCTGCAGATGGGGTAGGGGCTATAGAGGTCACTGATACCACTAGTGAGTTAAGAGTTAAGTGTATGAGTCCGGGGCTGGTGAGACAGCACAGCAGGCAGGACACGAGCCCCACAAGCAGTGATTCCTGAGGGCAGTCAGGAGTTACCCCTGAGTATCACAAAAACATCAACAAAAAGGAGAATGAATTTTCGGGGACTGGAGCCAATAGTACAGTGAGTCCGCTGCCTGCCCTGCACGCGGCCTACTGGAGCTTGATCCCCAGCATCACGTACAGTTCCCAGAGTCCCACCAAGAATGCCCCTCAGGATAGAGCAATGAGCAAACCCTGCGCATCACCAAGGTATGGCCGAAACACCAAGGAGGAGGAGCGGGAAGGGAGAGTGTGAAACTTGGAAGCCGAACGCCAAAGCCTTTATTCTTAGATATTACACCACCTCAGCTCTGTCATCAGAACGTATAATTTTCACAGCAGTCTTGCCATGCAGACAATATTGTACAGATTCTCTTTTAGAAATACGGTAACAGGGAAAGGTTCTGTGTCAAGGAGCTAGAATTTGGCCCCAGGTGACTCTGGCCCTCAGGTTCTGCTCTTCTTCACCTCCCATTCGGTCCATACAAAGGCTGGAGATGAGGGAGTGGGAGACACGGGGCTGTGTGGGAGGAAGGAGTTCGGAGTTCGGCTGCGGGTGTGGGGAAGCACAACGTCAGGCTGCAGTTACATGGGGGGCCGGGCAGGGGAACGGGAAGGCTGGGGGCGGCCAGGACGCCTGTGTCCAGCAGCCCAGGGGCAGAGATGCGGCGGAAGCGGGCTGGGCCTGGAGCTGGGAAGGGGGAGGACAGTTAGGCAGGAGCCGCAGCAGCTTCTGCCCTGAGCCAGGACGTGCTTGGCTCCTTGCGATGCTCGCATTCTTGGACTCACGGCCAAGTCCCAGGGCCACGCCTGCCTTCCCCCCTCCCACCGCGCTCCGGCTCTGCCACCATTTCCTACCCCACAGCGACCCCAAGAAAACGGCTCAAGTCACCCAAGGCCGACAGAACAGACTAGAAAGGGAGAGAGGCAGCTCGGCCACCAGCGCCCCCAGATTACAGCCACCTGGGAGAAGGCAGCGATCAAAGGGAAAGGAGGTGCGGGGACCACATGGCAGGGACTCAGTGACCAGCTTGAGAGGGTGGGGGGGCAGCCTGCTGCAGAGTACCACCTCCTCATCTGTCCCCTGCAGCCCCCCATCCAGTCCCAAGGTCCAAATGCCTCCTCCTTCTGGGGGTCACTGACAGGTCACCAAGGCTCTGCTGATTCAGGCATCAGCCGATCTGCAGCAGCCTGGGGGGACCTGGGCAGGCGGCCCCCTCCCCCGGTGGGGTTTTCATTCTCTTCCTCAGTCACTCACACAGTGATACACATTGCTACACAGACACACAATATACACACGCTGATACATGATATAGATATGTACATTCATTTGATACACATACACTAATAGACACGATGTCCACACAGACTCACAATATACATGTACTGATACGCAAACAGGATGCACACAATCACATAAAACATATACACGAAAAACACATAACAGATACACACTGATACACACATATACTAATACATACTCACGCACAATATACCACACTGACATACTCATACATCCACACAATACACAGGGATACACTCATACAATATACGGTTACCCACTCACAGATCCACACACTAATACACACAGATACACTCATACAACACACACAGAGATACATCTCAGTGATACACTAATTAATACACAGGTATACAGATACACATGATATATACACACACCAATACAGATACACACAAGATATACGAACACACAATGATGTACATACAATATACACACACTGATACATACAGCATATACATAGAGATACACAGATGTATACAAACTGTATACACACATACAATATATACACAGGTACACAAGGTAGACACACAAATTCACATGTTGTACACACACATGATATACACACATTGACACAGACACACTCGTACCCTGAACAGAATCAGACAAATCGGGTTCCAGTTCCGATTCTGCCACTGGCCTTCCCAACTTAGAGAAGTTTCTCCTATGTTCCAAGCCACTGTCTTGTCCCGATAAATGGGACTGGCAAACCCCTGGCTCTGTCCTGGCCAACAATAAGAGCTAGGCACTTGGTCAAGTTTTAGCAAGTCCTCTGCAGCGAGGCACACATCTCTAGTGGCAGGGAACAGAAGCGCGCATGGCCTGCTCAGCAGCGGAGCCTTGGCTGGATCCAGAGAGTGCCAGGCCTGTGTCTGCCACTGCCAGTACCTCGGGAAGCGTCCACCCCAGAGCCCGCCTAGTCCCGGCCAAGTTCCGACTCAGTGGAAGGTTCTTGGAAATATTTACAGGTAGGGAGGAGCAGCCCCACAGGCATGTTCCCCAGCCACACGGACTGAAGGGAAGGAGGAAGGATGAACACTGCCAGAACCTAAAAGACTCAGCCACTCGACCAGAGACAGGATGGCAGGTAGGGTGTTTGCCTTGCACATGGTCTCAGGTTAAATTCCCAACATCCCATGGGATTCCTGAAGCCCACCAGAAGTGATCCCTGAGCGCAGAGCCAGGAGTAAGCCCTGAGCATCACCGGATGTGGCCCCAAAAATTAAAACAAAAACTCATCCTAGGGCTGAAGCAATAGTACAGTGTGGAGGGCATTTGCCCTGCACGCCACTAACCTGGGTTCAATCCCAGCATCCCACAGGGTCCCCTGAGTTCTGCCAGGAGTCATACCTGAATGCAGGATCAGGAGTAACCCTTGAGCACTGCCGGGTACAGCCCCCAAACGAAAACAACCAACAAAAACCAAACCAAAAACCACACCAAAACTCCATTCACGCATGGCATGAGTGCTCTCAGTGGGCCCGTGAGGGGTCAGCAGTCTGCTGCCTGGAGAGCTGTCCTGAGGCAGTCCTTTGTGGTGGACATTCATACCTGCCCTCCTGCCGTCCCCAGTCATGGCCTCCAGATATGGGTGGAGAGGGGGAGGGGAGAGAGCTTAGGGAGCCCCAGGGCATGGTGACCAGGGTCCAGACTGGCCAAGTCATCACGTCCACTTCCACTGAGCTCTGTGGAGAGCCGTGATCAAGCTCCCCGGTCACCAGAAGAGCCACATCTCTGAGACGTGGGGCTCGAGCAAGCTGGTCACAGAGGAGTGTGAGGCACAGGATGTGCTGAGGGGTGCCCCACCCCAGACGCCCACAGGGTCCGACACTCTCCTAACTGTGGCCCTCTGAACAAACAAGGGGGCCTGCATCCCCGAGTGCCCTGGAGCTGCTCCTCCTGAGTCCCTGCTCACAGCCTGCCTTCCGCCCGCCCCGTACATCAACCAGTGGGCAAAAGAATTAAGAGCCAGAGATAGGGGGAAAACACTCAGCAGAAGGTGCAGAGGCAAGCAGTGTGTGACTGAAAGAGGGGGAACCATGGGTGACCCAGCTGCCATGGTGCCCCCACCCACCCCCAGCTCCAGGCCATTCTAGCGGCGGCACCTGTCCTGCCATCCGTCAGCTCCCCAGCGCTGGAAACGCAGACTCTCCCTCCGTTTCCCAAATCATTCAAGAGGGCAGGGACTACCCTGGGCTTGACGAATACTTCTGGAGACCAGATTCAGGTTGGGGTGTCCTTGGGGGTCAACTGACTAGAATGTCCAGGGGCTGCCCGGAGAGCCAGCAGGCTGCCTGGTCAAAGCCACTTTCCCATCGGTTGTCTGGCCTGTCCCTGACCCTCCCTCCTCTTCTGGGGGTAAATCAGTAGCAGCCCTACTCCTGGACAGTTTGCTGAGGTTCAGAATGTCCAAGAAAAGGAATCACACTCAAGACAAAGGGGAATTAAAGGGGCGAGATGGTACAGCTAAGACACTTGCCTTGCATGCAGCCGACTAGTTCCATCTCCACCAAAAAAAAAAAAAAGTACTAGGGAAAAAATTAAGTAACATACTAGCAAAACAAAACAAAACAAAACAAAGCCCCCCAACCCCTACCCCAAATACCAGCTGCAACGCCTTCCAACTCTCGGCTCACATTCCTGATGTGGAATCAAAAACCGTGCCCCTTACTGTGTGATGCCGAGCAAGTCACTTAAATTTCCTGTGCCCGTTGGGAAACTGGGAATCTTACTAAGTATTTCAGGGACTTAGTTAATAGGATGTTAATAGGATTAAACGAGTAAAGATCTGAAAAGCACGAAGATGTGTGCTTGGCACGGCAAAAAGCACGGGCTAAAAAATAAGTGCCAAGTATCCATGCGCCTTGGCGATGTCTCTCTGACAAGACAGCCTCCCCTTTGCAATCACCCTTCCGGGGATTAAAGAACAACAACAAAACCAAGCCCCAGCGCCTCGCTCTCCTGTTCAGCATTGTTCTCGTTCCCGCTGGAGGGGTCTGCTCGGACATTCCGGAGAGGGTGTTACGAGGACCACCAAAGTCGGCTAGGGAGCTTCAGGTGGTACCTCAATGAGCGCTGCTTCATCCCTCCGTTTAACAGTTTTTATCTGTGACATATTTTATGAGGCAGGAGCTCGGTGCTTTCACACTAATTGGGTCCCGCTACAAAAGAGCTGACGAGGGCCTCAGAGAACACTGCTAAGCCAAGGGGAGTGGATGGAAGGGGTGGAGGGGGGAGAACGGGTCCCCGCGAGGGCAGTTGGCTTGACAGCAGCCTAGGGAGAGGGGGCTCGGGGGCTGGGGGCCAGGCTCAGCAGGCCAGGGCTGAGCAGGAGGTGGAGACAGGCCTATCTTAGTCTCTGCAGGCCTCTGGCTGATGAACCCCTCTCCCAGGCCCAGAGGCCAACTGGTCTCCTGGCCTGCTCTGGCTCCGCCAAGGCACCCACCCCTGGTCCCCTCCCCCACCCCCGCCCCCCCTTTCAGGCTGATCCCACTTCAAAGTCTCTCCACCACCAGGGGTGTCTGTTTCTGGACAGAGGCCAGACCATCATTACTATACCCTACTGTACCCCGAGCGCCCCACCCCAGGCTCACACAACAACAGGACCGGTCCACTTAGGAGCGCCCGATCTCCAGGCAGCATCCAGCTCTGCGCTCCCAGGCGGGGAGAGGCGACAGCGGAAACCCACCGGCTGGAGCCAGAAGGCTCTGGGCCCCCTCCACCCTTCCCAGGGGGCCAGACGAGGAGGCTGGGGAGAAGGCTGCCTCCCTCACTTAGCTGGGCGGCCTCCCAAGGGCTGGAGACCGCCTTGCCTGTGGGCCTCCAGGCCCCGCGCCCAGTCGGTGCCGGGCAGGTTATGGGGGGGGGGGGGGCGCTCCCGCGGTCCCCTGGGAGTTGGGGGGGGGTGTGAGGGGCTGGCCAGGCTCCCCCATCCAGGCCAGCTGCTACAGAGTCTTCCGGCTCCAACATTCCAGCCCTTCTTAAAGGCGACGTCGCGACGGGCCAACCCCCAGCCCTCGCTGTCCAGGCGGGGCTCCGGTCCGGCCCGGCCACCCCCTGGAGGAAAATACAACCCCCAATATACACCCCCCTCGTCCCCGGGTGCAGACTGTGGGGGGGATAGGGGGTCGGACTGGCACCGCTCGGGAAGGGCTCGGGGGCTCCTCTCCCGTGACAACACCCCCCCACCACCACCACCACGCACCCCCCACCCCCAGGGGAGCGGGGGGCGCCCGCCCGCGAAACACACGCCGGGCCTCCGGGCCTCGGGCCCCCCGACCGACCCCCTCCCCCTCCCCCACGGCGCAAAGTCCCCCACGAGCCTCCCAGCGCGGATGCTGCAAGCGGGGCTGGGGGGGGGGGAGGAGGAGGAGGAGGCCCGGGGCGGGCGCCCCCAGGTGCGCCCCTCCAAGGCGAGCGGGCGGGGAGCGCGGGTCCCCGCGGAGGGGGCGTGTGTCGGCCCGCGCGGGCGCGGCCGTGGGCAGCGGGGGCCGGGGGCGGCCGGGGCAGCGGCTCCGGGGGACTCGGGGGGCTCGCGGGGGCGGGGGCGGGGGGCCGTCCTCACCCGAAGTCGTCGTCCATGGACTTGAAGAAGAACTTGTAGCTGGGCCGCTGCAGGACGCCCTTGAAGTCGGCCAGCGTGACGCGCTCGGCGGGCAGCGGCAGCTTCACCAGGTACGGCGTCTCCTGCCCGTCCAGGTGGTAGATGATCTTGGTCTCGCCCATGGTGCCCGCCTCGGGCCCGGCGCCCCGCGCGCGGCCTGCTCGGGCGGCCGGGCCGGGCCGGGCCTCTCGGGCGGCGGCGCGCGGCGCGGCCCAAGGCTCGGCGGCCCAGCGCGGCTCCCTTGTTCTCCGGCCGCTCCCGGGTCCCAGCGCCGCCCGCCGCCCGCCGCCGCCGCCGCCCGCCGCCGCCGCCGCCGCCGCGGCCGCCGCTTCCGCTCCCCCTCTCGCCGCTCGGCTGGCGACGGCGACTCTTCCGGTGGCCGCGGCCCTCCCGGCTCGGCGCTGCGGCCCGGCCCGCGGCCCGCCCCGCCCGAGGGAGGCCCCGCCCCTCACTGCCGGGCCCCGCCCCGCACGAGGCCCCGCCCCGCACGAGGGAGGCCCCACCCCGCGCCGCCGCCAGACCCCGCCCCGCGCCGAAGCCCCGCCCCGTCCCGCCCCCGCCTCTGCCTCTGCAGCCGCCTGGCCGGCCCAGCGGAGTGCTAGGGCCGGAGCTCGGAGTCCCACGCCCCGCGGGGAGCTGGCGCTGGTCGCCGAGGCTCCCGGAGACACGAGAACTGTGTGTTCTTGAAGCCTCGGGAGCTACCTGCTAGGGGAATGCGCAGCTTCTCCGCTCCAGGGGAGCGGGGTCGTGCTGGCGTTGCTTTGCCCCCCCTCCCAGAAGCGGGGGCTGGGAGTGGCTGTTGATTTGGACCACGTGTCGCCGCCAGAGGATTGGGGGACCTCGACCTGTCCCTCTAGGGTCTGTTGAAGCTGCTTAGCTGTGTCAACCAAACTGAACTCTTAGAGGACAGAACAGGCTAATTCCTTTTCATAACCTCGACACTTAGGTGCCAAATCGTGGCTTAAATGGATTGAGGACCCGACATAGAGGGATTGAAGCACTTGCTTGCCTTGCCGTGCCTTGCCTTGCATGCAGCTGGTCCCTAGATCCCCCACACAAATGTACGGTCCCCTAGCACCACAGCAAGAGTGAACTCTAGCATTGCCCCCTGCCTCCCAAATAAAATTAATGGCCTGTAGGTTGATAGAAGAGCACATGAGGAATTGAAGATATACGGTGGGGATGTGGCTCAGCCCTAGAGCTCTTGCCTTGCGTTGTGTGAAGCTCTGGGTTTGATCCCCGGAAAAGAATGAAGATGCATGGACGGCTTATGTGTTCTTAGGCCAAGGAGATTCTGTTCCCAGTAGCTCTCCTCACCCCCTAGCTTTTCATTCATTTAATACAGCCGTAGAGCCTATTCTGAGCAAGACTTGAGACAACAAAAATAAGACAGACAAGGCAGTGCTCAGGATTTGAGCTCAAGTGGAATGAGATGCAGCAGCTTGTAAATAGCTTCAGAGAGACAAATGCTATGAGACAGGAGAGTGCCAGGGAGATAGCTGGAAGGGCTTTGCATTGCATGCTGCATATGGGTGTGGGGGGTGGGGGAGGTTTGGGTTATAGCCCCCAGCATCTCCTTGAGACATAGTAGCCTGAAGCACTGCAGGGTGTGGCCCTCAAAATAAATAAAAAAAGATAGGATAAAGAAAATAAAGCAGGAGATTTAAAAAAAAAAAAAGGAAGTGATTTTAGTTGATCAGAGAAGGGTTTTGCACTAAAACAGAAACTAAGAACTTCATGCTTTGCATATGGAAGCCCCAGGTTCAATCCCTGGCACCTCATGGATCTCAGAACACCTTTGGGAGCGACCCCAGAACAATGAGCAATGCTCCAGAAAATTTTGTGTGCCTGAGCACCAAAAATATTATCCCCTTCCCCCCATCCCTCCTCCCCTCCTGTAAAGGATCTGGAATGGAGGAAGAGGGTCTAGAAGATCAGGGAGAGTGAGAAGGCATAGCCCAGTGAGAAGGCAGAGCCAAATAAAAAGGCTTATGGTCAAAAACTGAAAATTTTGAGAAAAAAGGCTACAGGAATAATGGTTAAAAGGGGCTAAAAGGTAGCCTGGGACCAGATTATATAGGTAGGCTTAAGGCACAGTAACAAGAATGGGGACTGACTTTGTACACTGTTACCAAATTAGCAATTAGCATTTCAAAAGTAAGTCACCTCTTCTGCACATTCCCTGACAAATTCCAGACATCCTCTGCATGGTTTTCAAAGCCATTTATAAATTTAACCTTTTTTTTTTCTCTTTGGGTTACACCCGGTGATGCACAGGGGTTACTCTTGGCTGTGCACTCAGGAATAACTCTTGGCAGTGCTCAGGGGACCATATTGGATGCTGGGAATCAAACCTAGGTCGGCAGCATGCAAGGCAAACGCCCTACCCACTGTGCTATCGCTCCAGCCCCTATAATCTAACTTTTACTGCGTCTTATTTTATTATGTCTTGGTTTAATTTTTTTTCTTTTTTGGGTCATAAGTGCTCAGAGCTTACTCTGGCACTGAGCAATCACTCCTGCAGGGTTTGGGGGAACTGTATGGGGTGCTGGGAATTGAATCAGGGGTAGCAGTGTGCAAGGCCTACCCATTGTAAAGCCCCATATTTTTTTTTGTTTGGGGTGCCCATACCTGGCAGTGCTCAGGCTTACTCTTCACTCTGCTCAGGGGTCACTCCTGGCGGGGCTCAGGGGACCATATGTGGTTCCAGATATCAGATCCAGGTCGGACACATGCAAGGCAAATATCTTACCCCCGTACTATCTCTCCTGTTTTTTTTTTTGGGGGGGGGGGTGTACACTGGCAATTCCCAGGAACTCCTCCTCACTCTGTGCATGGATGTTGCTCCCAGAGGTGATGGGGGGCTCTGTGGTGCCAGGGATCCCAAATGCAAAGCATGTGCTCAGCTCCTTGAACCAGCTCTCTGGCCCACAGGCCAATTTTTTCACTTCTGCAAATCTAGCTTTTTTTTTTTTTTTTGGCTTTTTTTTTTGGGTCACACCCGGCAGATGCACAGGGGTTACTCTTGGCTCTGCACTCAGGAATCACCCCTGGCGGTGCTCAGGGGACCATACGGGATGCTGGGAATCGAACCCGGGTTGGCCGCGTGCAAGGCAAACGCCCTACCCGCTGTGCTATCACTCCAGCCCCAAATCTAGCTGTTTTATTTGAGTTTTTAATTTGGCTTCTTTGTTGATTTGTGGTCAGGGGATCGAAACCAGGGCCTCATACACATACGTGTTCTACTGCAGAGCTTCATCCTTGGCTCCACCCTGCATATTATTATCCCGTGCCTGCCCTTTCCTTCATTTTATTAATGCAGTGTGTGTGCAATCAAATATGCACATAGGACACCAGTCCCATTTCCCTCCTTCCCCTGATGTGTCCTTTTACCTTTCACTATTTGATTCGTACATTCTAGACGTTGGTTATTGGTTTCCACTTTTTTTTTTTTTTGGTAGGGGTGGGGGGTGGAACACACCTGGCAATGCTCAGGGGTTACTCCTGGCTCTGCACTTAGGAATTACTCCCGGCAGGGCTCAGGGGACCATATGGGATGCAGGAATCGAACCTGGGTTGGCCGTGTTCAAGACCAACACCCTACCTGCTGTACCGTCACTCCAGTCCTGATTTCCATTTTTTGACAGATAAATTTATTTCTCTTCCACCTTCACTAACCTCTTAAATAATAAAATTACATTTTGGGGGTTAAATATAGTAAGGATTATTTTGACAATGAGTGAATGCTTCCTCTACAACACTGTTTCTTGTGGCATTAATTATTCCCTTGCTCATAGTATAGTGAATAAAGCACTGATTTTGCACACACCTGAAAGAGGTTCAATCCCTGGCATCCTATATGATTTCCTGAACACTGCCCAGATTAATTCCTGACTGCAGAGCCAGGGGTAACCCCTAAGCATTCCTGAGTCTGACCCAAAAGCTCTGCACTGTAGCACTGTCCTCCCATTGTTCATCGATTTGCTTGTGCGGGCCCAGGAATGTCTCCATTGTGAGACTTGTTGTTACTGTGTTTGGCATGTCGAATATGTCATGGGAGCTTGTCAGGCTTTGCAGTGTGGGCAAGATACTCTCGGTAGCTTGCCGGGCTCTCTGAGAGGGGCGGAGGAATCAAACCTGGGTTGGCTGGGCTGGCTGTGTGCAAGGCAAATGCCCTACCGCTGTGCTATCACTCCAGACCTAAAAGCTAAGGGGGAAAAAATCAGTTTCTTGCCTTTTCATTTGCATTATTCTTTATACTGCATACTTACCATTTCACATAATCTAATCGTTTCTTAGTACATAGTTTGTTCCCTCAGTCAAAAATATATTAAGGGGGATGCACGTGGCCGACCTGGGTTGGATTCCCAGCATCCCATATGGTTCCCAATGCACTGCCAGGAGTAATTCCTGAGTGCAGAGCCAGGGGTAACCCCTGAGCATCGCTGGTTGTGACCCAAAAAGCTAAAATACATACATATATATATTTTTTGGGGGGACACAAAGATAGTACAGGGATAAGGCACTTGTCTTGCATGCAGCTGACCTGGTTCTATCCTTGGCACCCCATATAGTCCTCTGAGCCTCTCCAGGAGTGATCCCTGAACATGGTACCAGGATTAATCCCTGGGCACTGGTGGTGTGGCCCCAAAACTCTGTGCATGCATGCATGCGTGCGTGCATGTGTGCGTGTGTGTATGTGTTGTAATCCATCAATTTCATTTTCTTGCAGTCTGGTGTCTTCTGCTCCCTTGCTCTGACCTCTCTGAGGCTATCACTGCTGTATGTTCTCTCTTTCCTCCTAAGAATTCCTTTCACTTCTCTTTCATATCTCCATTTCCTGGATGCATTACTCCTAATAAATATACCTTCTGATATCTTCTCTTGAGACTATGCAAATTTTAAAATAGTTTCTGAGGATCCAGAGAGATCCTCATGAACTGAGAGGATGCTTTCCATGCAGGAGGCCTGGGTTTGATACCTAGTACCACATGGTTCCCTGAGTACTACCAGGAACAACCCTTGAGACAGAGCCAGTGGTAAGCACAACCTCTAAGCACAACTGATGTGGTCTAAAAACAAAACAAACCAACACAACAACAAAACGATTGTTTTTGATAACTTGCACATCTGAGTTGAATGCACTTTCCCTTTAACTTTGGAGAATTAATTATTTTTACTTTGGGTCCACACTGGCAGTGCCCATGGCTTTCTCTACTCTGCTCACGGATCACTTCTGATAGCACTCATACACGTAATATCTCTCCATCCC